ACCAAAAGTAGTTGCTGTCCGTTCCTATATTAGGTTGCTGGCATAAACTAGATTGATGACATGATTGGATTTTCTCCTGCGTCATAATCCACAATTTCTACAAAGATACATCACGTTATGTGGAGCAATAAGCTCAGCTCTGCCCACGTGACAACATTGGCAGGGTCGCCAAGCAATGTGGAGCAATAAGATTTGTATTTCTTACAAATAACTTTAATTAAATGTCTTTAATAACTAGCTTACACTACTTACTTATAGAGCGAGGTATCACACACACTATAATCACACCCAGATTAACCCACAACACACTTTCATGCATTTGTGACACATACAAAGAATTTTTCCGAGTAGTTATCGACACTTCGACACGATAAATCACTGCATCAACTGTGCAAGGCCAACGAAAGATTGAGTTCTAATAACATGTATAAAAAGCTCATTTTCCACTATAACATAAGCAACTTTCCCAAGTAATATGTCCCTTGCATATTTAGCATATCGCTACGATGCTACGAGGCTACGAGGCTACGGTGCTACGACGCTACGGTGCTACGTGCTACGTGCTACGAGCTCCGTTCAACGTCGTAGATTGGTCCCAATGGTATCAGCTATCAGGTTAATAGCATCGGTGTCGATACGACCGGCGTTCGATTTTTATACGGAAGGTGACTTTTTGTTTTTGTTCTTAAAGCGAAGATTACAGTGAAATCGTGTGCTGATGCTGGAAAATACATTGCTTTTTTATAGAAAAGTCATTTGAGAGAGTTGAAAAGCTGATGAAGTATTTAGTAGACTGCCTCGTTGGCCGAGTGGTCGCAAGTTGTGACTGCCGGGCAAGGGGTCTCGGGTTCGATTTCCGGGTCGGGCAAAGTATTACTGGGTTTTTAAATAATTCGCAGTAGTAGCACGGAGTCTGAAATTGTGCCCGGTATATGGCAATAGGCTCACCCCCTATTACATGGGACTCATAACATAAATAGTGAAAATTGGGTGTTACATTGTACAGTGGTATAATGTGCACCTCTGCCTACCCCTTCAGGGATAAAAGGCGTGATGTTATGTTATGTTGTTATTTAGTAAATATCTGCTTTGAGTTATACGACTTAATCACCGGGTTGGTAAAGAATGATTGGTACAAATGACACTGAATCTATGTCTTATATAATACTGCTGAAAAGATGAATCGTTTTCTAGTTTATTTGCACGTTAATCTCCAAATCTACTGGTCAGAATTTAATAACATTACTATAATTATTTTTCTATCGGATAATTGAGAAAAGTTTTAATTCATTTCAATACACAAGGAATCCTAGTGTGGAGTCCAGAATACACCAAAATTGTAAAATATTTTTTTGAAATAAACATTATTATTATTGGGTAGTGTACTTTTTCTCAGCTCTTAAAGCTGGTATTCACCTACATTCACGGGCCAGGGCCAAGTGAATATAGGTGTGGTGTGTAATTATGTGTTCGTGGTGTCTTCTTCCAACTGCATAATCTTTTGGACTATCCTGCATGTGTTCAACATGGCTGTTTTCTGTAGTGTGGTATATATAGGTATTATTATTATTTTCTTCTTCGAAAAATCGAAAACCATGTAGAAAAATTCACAAATATTCATGTTCACTTCTTCTTCGCCATCACGTCATCAGATCCCATATCCTTACTAATATTATAAATCGGAAAGTGAATTTGTTTGTTTGTTCCGCTTTCACGCCGTAACTACTAAACCGATTGCTTTGAATTTTTGCAGTTAGAAGTCCAGATAAGTGCAGGTCCGTAAAGTTAGAAGTCCAGATTAAATAATAGGGTACTTTTTATCCCGGAAAAATTGATATTCCCGAGGGAAAACAAAAGTATTGGTATAGATGGATGGAAAACAAAAGTATTGGTATATGTCACATAGGCAACTTTTTATCCTTTTGTGACGCGAGCGAAGCCGCGGGTAAAAGCTAGTAGTAAATAAACGAACCACGCATTAAATATGAACATAAATGGACTCATGTAATCATGGCAATGAGTGTCAATATTTTACACCGTACTCAGTGACATGTTGACCTGTCTGACATGTCGACTATCACGGATCGCCGTCATGACGTGACGTTGTTACGTCACACGTTGGTGACGTCATGACAAGCGACGGTACCGGCGGCTACTGACGCTCAGCAAATAGAGTGCCAATCAGTAGTGACTGACAGCTTATCAGTGTATCAGTGGATCATCGGCGGGAAATGTTTCAGGTAGGTGTTTAATGTTGGAAAGATAACAGAAATTGCAATTTTTTAATTACTTCTTGTATCATGACTAACTCGATGGTTGAGTGAATTGACTAGGGGTGCATTTGAAATCTAGATTGCACAAAGTATAGAAGGAATGATTTCGAATTCTTAGTGTTGTAAACCTAATATTGGACACGATAATAAAATAATCACTGTTTGTTACTTATTTCCCATAGTTAGGAAACTAAAAGGGGCTAAGACGTAGACTAAACATAACCCACAGTAAGAGTCTGACACTCCCTTCCGCCTCACCCAGGCGGGAGCAGTCATTCGATGATTTTCCCCCCTTAAAAAAAACCCACAGTCAACATATATACAACTAGCTTTTACCCGCGGCTTCGCTCGCGTCACAAAAGGATAAAAAGTAGCCTATGTGACATATACCAATACACACAGCGCCTTCTATAGCAATAATTTTGTTTTTCCTCGGGAATATCAATTTTTCCGGGATAAAAAGTTATTTAATCCAGACTTCTAACTTTACGTCGGCAAAAATTCAAAGCAATCGGTTTAGTAGTTACGGTGTGAAAGCGGAACAAACAAACTCACTTGCCAATTTATAATATTAGTGAATATAACTGAAAATAACAAAAATCGAATAACCCAAAAATTCTTTGTTCTAATCGCGGACATAACCACAGATTCTAAACCATTGACTACCCCAGTAGTTTACTCAGCAAACCACTTAATCAACGAGACTGTTCACCAGCCCGAATCCATCAAAAAGAGAAAGAAAAAAGTATTGAATAACGCTAGTACATACACACACACACATACACGCATACTAAGACAAACTGACTTGCAATCAATAACATAATTAAGGTGAGCAGGTGCGTTAGGCACGTTACACACCGACCTGTGTTTGTCAGGACGGTGACACGACACGCGTCTCGTGTGTAAACAGCTTAACATCATTATTGCCGGCTGCTGTAGCGTTTAATTATTATCCTAAAAACCTTGTTCGTTGTTTCTGATTGTGGAGAATAGTTGGTTTGAATCTTGGGTCGTGTAGAAATGAATAATAGATCTTTATGACCGCCTTATTAGTTGAGTGGCTACAAGCACGACTGCCAAGTAAGGGCTTCTTAGTACGATGCCAAGGTCCGGTAAAATACTCTTGCGACTTTTTCACTTTTATGATAGCTTTACTTATGAATCAGTCACGTCAAGTAAAAATAACATAACAAAAAGGCGTGACCTTTTATCCCCGAAGGGGTAGGCAGAGGTGCACATTATGCCACTGTACAATGCAACACCCAATTTTCACAAATTTATGTTATGAGTCCCATGTAAAAGGGGGTGGGCCTATTGCCATATATACCGAGCACAATTCCAGACTCCGTGCTACTACTGAGATTTTTTTTTAAAACCCAGTAATACTTTACCCGACCCGGGAATCGAACCCGAGACCCCTTGCCCAGCAGTCGCAATTGCGACCACTTGGCCAACGAGGCAGTCAATCAAGTAAAAATAACGCCTGAAAAACGTAAATACAACCTAAAAATCCGGATTTTCAATTCGGACTTTCTATCTCATTTTAAAACAAAACAGTCACTTGTACCTAAGTGTGATTTTCAGCTGAATCCTTTCAGGAGTAGTTTCAGTAATGTAGTCAGTGTGAGAGTATCTTCTAGTTATCTGAAGGAATAAACATTTCAATTGCCACGACCCTTTTCAGGACATTTTACAGCGAACTGAAAGCTGTACCTTAGACTTGGTGAAAAGATGTTTGAAGAAAGTGTGTGAAGTAAACTGTGAGCTTCGTTGACTATCAGTGAAGGTAGGACTACCGTACTATTAATAATAATCATTATTAACATATTTTTTATTTATTTTTCATACATTTTTAAATATTTGATTATTAAAAAAACACTTAAAATGTAAAGAGCAGCAGCCCACCAGTAATGGGAAAAATCTAAGCTACAGGCGGTCAGAAGGCCAAGCACGAATAACAATCGCATTCGTATCGTAACAGTATCGAGCGCGTTAAGCGTTCTGATTGGTTGGTTCACTTGAGCCGGCCAATCAGAGCGCCGAACGCGCTCGATACTATTACATTACGAAGGCGATAGTTATTCGTACTTGGCACTCAAGGCTCCAGAGAGAGGAATTTCCGGACTACACGCGCCGACCCAACCACCTAACACTAGCCTAATCAGGTGTTGGCCGAGGCTTTTAGCTGTACCGCAGAGGGTGATGGCTGTCAGAGTCGTCCGCGGGTATCGCACGATTTCCTACGAGGCGGCTTGCGTCCTGGCCGGATCCCCGCCCTGGGACCTAGAGGCGAAAGTACTCGCGTCACTATACCGATGGCGCGAGGAAGAGCGGACACGGGGCTCGAGGCCGGTGCAGCGCCAAATCGAGCGGCGCCGAGAGGAGCTCCGTCAGGTCTTGGTGGCGGAATGGCGGCAAAGGCTTTTGCGCCCCACCGCCGGCCTCGCTACCGTCGAGGCGATCCGGCCAGTACTCGACGACTGGCTTGGGAGGAAGCACGGCTCCCTGTCGTTTAGAGTGACGCAGGTGCTGTCGGGGCACGGCTGCTTCGGCAAGTACCTGTGCCGCATAGAGAGGGAGCCGGACGCCCGGTGCCACCACTGCGTCCATTGCGGGGAGGACACGGCGCAACACGCGCTCGCCGAGTGTGTAGCTTGGGAGGAGCAGCGCCGTGTCCTCAGAAATGGAGTAGGAAGCGATCTGTCGCTGCCGGCCGTAGTGCGGAAGATGGTGGACAGCGCAGAGTCGTGGGACGCGGTGGTGTCTTTCTGCGAGGATGTGATGTCGCAGAAGGAAACTGCGGAACGGGAGAGGGAGATCTTACTGACTTCCTTTCCCAACCGCAGAAGGCGCACCGGGCGTAGGAGAAGGGCCGACAACGCCCTCTTCCGGCCCCCATAAATGGGTCCAGGGGCGAAGGACTTGGGGAAGTCCTCGCCCCCGACTTCAAAGACCCGAGTCGAAGGCGCGCGCGGGTGTCGGCGTGCGCCTTTGAGGCGATGCACGTGGTGCACTGCTCCGTGCAGGTGACGGGGCCCTGACATACGGGCCGGCACTGTAATGCGGGGCTGCGGATGAATTTGGACTCCCGTGGCCCCGCACGCACGTGTGAGGAGACACTGGGGTGGTTTTAGCCGGTAAGAGTCCGGCACACCCCTCCGCCTTTCCCCAGGCGGAGGCAGTCCATGAGGATTTCCCCCCATAAAAAAAAAAAAAAAAAAAAGGCTTTTAGCTGTGAGCTATTGGCAGATACAACTATCGGCACAATGATTAATTATTAACATTGTTTTTAACTTTTCAGTTTATAATTATTGCTCGTAATTGTCAGTCAAGTCACGACCAGTATTAATAAAAATAGTAATGCTGGGACAATCGAATGATAAATAAAATTGCATAATGATCAACAGTCAATGCAAAGGCATCCCCCAATGACTTCTGAACCAATTAATATAGGGAACAGCCTTATACTATCATGTGTTACTAAGAAACAAAAAATAACAATATTGGTTTACCCAAGGTAGTATTAAAAGGTCAGACTTTGCTCAAAAAATTGTTAAGTGTGGGAGAGCCACGCTTCGGCACGAATGGGCCGGCTCGACCGGCCTGATACCAAGGCCTCAAAGAAAACCGACGTGAAGCAACGCTTGCGTTATGTTTCGTCGTGTGAATGAGGTTAGTGGAGGCCCAATTACCTTCTCCTTCCCCAACCTCCCCAATTCCTGAATCCCCAACGATCCTCAAACTCCTAATTCCCAAAGGGCCGGTAACGGTGTCCCAGGTGTTCAAGGGCGACGCTCAATGCTTACCATCAGGTGATCCGTCTGCTCGTTTACCGGCTAATGCCATAAAAAAATCACATATTATATACATTTTTTCAACTAAAATTACAAGTGTTTAGAAAAAATATAAAGTTTGAAGTTAAAGCTAAAGCAATGTTGGTGCTTAATATCAAATGTTTCTTTTATGGAAAATAAGTGGAGTCGAATGCGAGCACCTCGCACGGGCAGTCGTTAAAACAGTCCACGGAGCGTGAAGGAGTGCGCGTCTCCTTTGTAGTACGACATGCGACACAGAGACATGTTTTGCAGATTCAAGTAATACTTGTTTTTACGAGTACTATGTTATTAGTATCTAAATTATTTTGATTACGAACCAAAGGCTAGTTTTATTCATAAAGTAATCAATATTTTTTTATAATAACTTTCATGAGACATACTAAATTACTTAAATCGCGGGTTACTCATGTGAATATACTGAGAAAAGCTCTACTAGTTTCGAACCACAGAAGGGTTCTTCCTCACGAGGAGCGTGCGCTGTCACGAAACAAGGACATTTCTAGTATGCGAATTCTTTTCGGGTTTTTCGGTTGATCGATAGTTCTCGGTTATAATACGACACAGCTTGTATTTGTGCAGATACAAGGTGTATTTTTGAAAATGTACAATCTTCTAGGATATGATTCTATTATTTAATCAGGACTTCTAACTTTACGTCTGGAAAAATCAAAGCAATCGGTTGAGTAGTTATGGCGTAAAGGTGGAACAAACAAACAAACAAACTCACTTTCAGAGTTATAATATTAGTAAGGATTATAGTGAGGGAGCCACTACCCGTAACAATTAAAAAAGTGGTGTTACATGTAATGCGCACTCTGGGTACTTCTATGGAATATATTCATAAATACAACATATATGGAATATATGGAATATATGGAATATATATTCTATGGAAAATAAAAATACCTAAGTAATATTTTCACTTGCTTATTTTTAACTTTCTCTCTTAAACCTATAACGTGTAAAAATGTAAACAAACTTACCGAAGTGTTTAGTTCAAGGGGTCGTGAGTGTTATTCAGAGAAATAGTGTTGGGGCTCAACGCATGCCTTGAAGATAAAACTGAACAAAGAGGGCACAAACGTAAATAAACTGTAATAAATGAACTCAACCCCAATTACATGGGGTTTTTATTATAGGAAGCTTGACATTCGATTCCCCGTGTGACTGGGTAGAAGAGTAACCATGGAGTTTTTTACTCATTCTGCTCAATAGGAATCTATAATTTGGTTCGAGCAAATATCTTCAATACTGGACAGCTATATACATCATCTTCAACTTTTATTTTATTTATTTATAAAAGACAGGAAACAGCAGTATATTAAATATAACACGAGTGAGTAAAATAATAGATTTAACAAATACACACCTCACGACGTTGCCACATATTACCATAAATCTACTTAGCAAATACAATTAACGGTAATTGCAATACTCTTTCAATCGACTGATTTAAAAATAGTAACACTGTATTGTGTATATATAAATTTACATGCAGTCAATTTTCATAAATATAAAAGATCTTAGTAGGTAACTTTTAGAAATAAGACAATATACTACTTACAATACACGTAAAGTAATAGAGAAAATTAAATGAAATGGTAAAAGGTTAATGGTTTAAGTAAATATAATTGAATCCAAAATGTTTTGGCAATAGACTGTTGCTAAACATTATTTATATCACGCCTTTCATTTCCCGAAAGAGTGCGCATTTATTAACCCTTAAAATGACTCGTCAGTCACCGGTGCCGGATGCTGGTGGAAGTTTGACTTTCACCTTTTGAAACTTGGCAGTCAAAGTGTCGAAGTGTCATGTGTCGTGGTGGCCCGGAGGATCAAAACGCCCGCTTCTCATGCATGAGGATGCGGGTTCGAAACCTACCAACCGCAAGTACCAATGTGACTTTTTCCGAGTTATAAGTACTATCTAAGATTATCTTGACACCACTGACAAACGGTGAAGGAAAACATCGTGAGGAAACCTGGGCTTATAATTTCTAATTATAAGTTTGTAATCGCCAATCCGCATTGAGCAAGTGTGGTGATTAATTTTATTTTTTATTTATTTATTTATTTTAAGAAGGCTTACAGACTAATACATTAAAATGATTTCATAAGAGTATAATATTGACAAATTGCTAATTACAAGCCTCCACATATAGATAAAAAGAAAAACAAAAAGGCATAAAAAAGATTTGATGTCGCAAGGATGCTACACTGGTGCAGAATAAGTCAATGTCAAATTCCTTAGACAGTCTATTAAATTCAAGTGCACTCCTTATCGAAAAAACATTTCTCATATAGTTAGTCGATGTGAAGGGTACACTTAATATAGTTCGCAGACGTAATCCCATTAGGTTCGTGCGCAATGCTAATTTTGCAACAAGCTCAGGACAGTCAATATGGCCATTTGCGATACGCATAAGCATAGTTATGTCTCCAATATGACGCCTCATGTCCAGAGGAAGGAAGTGGTACCGTTTACAGCGGTGGTTGTAGTCAACTGAGTATTGCTGTGCTCTATAATCAAGGTAACGAAGAAATTTTCTTTGGACGCCTTCAATACGGGACTTATAAACCTCATACTGCGGGTTCCAAACCTGTGATGCGTATTCTAAGTGGCTACGTACGAAAGAGCAATACAAAATTTTTATCTGTTTAAGAGATCGGAAACAGATAATGCTCAAACCTTCTCCGTGTGAGAAGAGGCTTTGCTCAGCAATGGGCATTTATGGGTTGTTGATGATGAGTCAAAGTGTTAAGTGTTGAGGTACGGAACGTAATTTTTTTTAATGTTTTAATTTCCATGTAATAACAAGTATCATTGCTGAAAGAAAATCTCCGTAACTCTCCATCTAACCTAAGTATTGACCACAAAAGCTCCTCGTCTATCAATTCGAACACTTGACAAACGAAACAATTCAATTATTTGAGACTTGCAACACAATATACTACCCACCTAACCATACATATACATATAATTTTTTATTTATTTTTTTTAAGGGGGGAAAATCATCGAATGACTGCTCCCGCCTGGGTGAGGCGGAAGGGAGTGTCAGAATCTTACTGACTAAAAACCACCCCGTTCCTTCTCCTGCACGTCGAGCCGGAGCCCCGGTTACCCGTTAGGTTCTCCGCGACTCCGAATCGGCATCGGCCCTATTGGGCCCCATCTGTGGTGGTCTGATGGCTCTTTGAGGCGCGCGCGGAACGCGACGCGCCGTACGCTCACATATACATATAATAAAATCGTAGGAAAGTGAAACCTGTACATTGAATACTTTTTTCAAAAGAATTCGTGGGGCGTGATATCGAAGCCAAAAATATGGATTTATAATATTTTTGTCCGTTTAAACTCAAAAAGTACGGTATAATGATTTACTTCAAATTTTGAATGAACATTACGAACAGGTCGTTTCAACATATAGGCTACATATTCGCTATTACCTACGATTGAGGAGCTGTGAATCACTATTCTATGCGGACGAAGTCGCTGGCACAGCTAGTACTCAAATAACAAACAATGGCAACAACAATTATCAGTCCCAGTAATGACGAACATACAATTCTCTTCGCCTAGAGAATAAGCTGCAGTTTCAACAATTTTATTTTAATGCTACGGTATCATATTTGCTGGAGCGCTCTGGACGCTGGACGTCCACTCATTAGAGAGTAGTCGTGCATTCCCACACCACATCACACAAGAAAAGGTATGATCAGAAGGTTCAGTCTGATTTATTATTATACGTATATAGACCTACACATACATTATATATGTATAGATTAGATAGATAAAACTTACATATAACTAGCGGACCCAACAGGTGTTGTCCTTCATATCCACTCGAATGTATAAACAAAAATTCATTCAAATTAGTTCAGCTGTTTAGGATAAATAACCTAAATATAGACTGCAGATGAAATTTGAAACAGAGGTAGATTATAGTCTTGGGTAACACATAGGCTACTTATGCCACAGGAACGCGGACAAAGCCGCGAGCCGGAGCTAGTATTTATACAGGGGTTGTTCACACGTGCTTTTATCAATCATATGAATAGTGACTAGGTACTTCATCACTATGTCAGCCGCAAGATGTCCACTACTAAAATAGACCTCCTCTATGACAAAAGCCATGAAAGACCAATGCCAATGAGGTTTTAATCACTCAAAAATAGTAATAATGATTTTATTTATTTCCAAAATTCTTTGTTATTATACTCTCATTTTCTATAACAGGTAAGTAGCAGAACCGAATCTATTAAAAAACAAACTTAGTAGATTTTTTTAAAGCATAATCCGGTAAACGATAAATAAAAAGATAAATCGGCGCCGCCCATGGACACCCAAAACACCAAGGCGTTGCAAGTGCGTTACCGGCCTTTTGGAAATTGGGAATTTGAGGATTGTGGAGGATACGGGGATTCAGGAGACTAAGGAGGGGGGTAATAGGGCCTCCGGTAATCTCACTCACACGACGATACACAACCCAAGCGTTGTTTCACGTCGGTTTTCTGTGAGGCCGTGGTATCACTCCGGTCGAGCCAGCCCATTCGTGCCGAAGTATGACTCTCCCACACTTAAAAGATCAAACCCATGTCATTAAATAATAATTCTCAATATTAACAACACCAACAAAAATCGTTGAACTTCTGTTCACACATTTCATACTGTATTAACACAGAATAGCGCGCGAACAAAAATATAACGTAATTATATAACATTATAGTTTAGAATTCATCAAAGAGATGCAGCGTTGAGATGGCGGACGGCGGCATGCAGTGTTTTTAATCAAATCAAATCAGCGTAGCGGCGCCGTAGCAGCATAGCGACGTAGCTTCGCGTAGCCGAGCTACGGTGCTACGGGAAAAATAAAAAACTGATAAAATTATAATTACGCGAAAGTAAATTGTTTTATTTTATATGTGTGTGTGTGTGTGTGTGTGTGTGTGTGTGTGTGTGTGTGTGTTACATTGTAGCTGTACTAATCTTGAAACGATTGATAAAAATGTATGTAATTAAAAAATAAATGGACTATCTTCTATTTTTAAATAAACGTCTCATTTTATTGTCCTCAAGGTTATTTATTTTTCAATCTCTTTGACTGGATTTAGGTGTTGCATTGTTCTCACACAATCGAACCAACAAAAATGTAAATAGAGAATTGTATTTCACAATACACCTGATTGAAAAAGAGTAACCTATGGAGTTGCTTGCTCGTTCTTCTCCATAAAAATCTACACCAAGGAATGAGTAAATAGCTTCACTTCTAAAATATACGTTGTTGACGTTCAAAAGTACCTTCTACTACTTGAAATAAATGATTTTGAATTTGACTTCAGAATGTCATTTACAGGCATGTACTCTAGTTTATGCACGAGTTTCTTCGACCAACCTACTCATTTCTCCTTCAGGTTTACGCAATAACTCTTTACACTGGATAATGTTCCCTGATCTTTAATGTTACTTATTTACTTTGTTAAATTTTTTGCGTCGAAGCCGATTCGGAGTCGCGGAGAACCTAACGGGTTACCGCGGCTCCGGCTCAAAGTGCAGGAGTAGGAACGGGGTGGTTTTTAGTCAGTAAGAGTCTGACACTCCCTCCCGCCTAACCCAGGGAGGAACAGCTATTCGATGATTTCCTTAAAAAAAACTCATGTAATCTGATAACAACTTCATTGAGTCTCGCGTCCAAATACTGAAAGTGAAACTTTTTTCTCCTATCCTAATTCGTTATTAATAACGAAAAACCTTCATCTTCACCCAGCTACTCGAACTAAAAACAAATAATTTATATGCAACAATTGACCAAACAAAACTCGACGATGAAATCCCCACGAAAAAGAAAAATAACATTCACACTAAAAAAAGAAACTATAAAATACATCAAACTCAGTATCGCAAAGTTATAAATTATAATAGATTGTGTTTATTGCAAATATAACCATATAATAATATAACACAAAGTCACATGCAGTAAAATCTGGCGAGTGGTTTTCATCAACGATTTTACGAGAAGTGTTAAAACTTAGATAAAAAATAAAATAATAATTTTTTTTATACTTATGTGCAGGTGGCACTGTGGTGAATCGTCACCTCTGAGCGGGCTCCCCCCACCAAAATGTTGGGCATAGTGTTCACGGTTCTCTCCGTCAGTGTGGCCTGCCACGGCGACATTCACAATTGTGAGTATTGTAGAATTGTTATGGGGTGACCCGGTAAACGAGCAGACGGATCACCTGATGGTAAGCATCAGGCATCAGGCATTAGTAATCGGCGGCGGCGCCCATGGACACCCGAAACACCAGAAGTGTTACAAGGGATTAGGAATTTGAGGATTGGGAAGATTTGAGATTGTGGAGTTTTGTCCTCGTTCCTCTCTTTCACTTCTCTTTTTTAAAGAATTGAATTGTTAGGGTGGCGGTGGATAAGCCGTTGGATGCAAGGCAACGTGACAAGGATTATTGTTCTCTTTCTGATCTCGGTGTGGTCATGAAGGAAAATCCGGAACCCTGATTGACAATCAAATTTAATACAGACAATTTCTGACTTTTTTGACTGGTCTGATTATAATGGTGGCGGTGGATGAATGATTGGCTGCTATGCAACACGTTCCAGCTCTGATTGTAACTGTTTCTAACTAATGAAAGCTCCTCAATTGTCAGCATCATCGGAGCCAATGCGGCTGTTCCCACCACCGCCGCCGTCACGGCGTATGTCATCCAACCTGGTGGACAAGCTTAGACGGCAGCTCATGCGGGACAATTATGACTATCAGAATGGAAACTCCAACGAGCGCAGGAAACAGAATGCCACTCGCAGCGAGGCAGCCGCGGTACGTATCAACGGTGTCCCAGAGGTCCTCATCCCAAATAATTCGCAATTATTCAGTAATACTTAGTAATAAGTTATCAGCTGCCCAGGAAATACAATTTCCTGGCTATGTTACACGTAGGACCGTATTGCATGTCACAATATTTTCAGTATAGGTATTCGACGTGACTGAAAAAGAACATGGATAAGCTAAAAATTTTTTTTTTCTAAGTGTTACTAAAATATATATTTACAGAATTTATATTAATAGAAAGTTGGAACCGACAACTTACCCCCATATACCTAGAATCTTGGAGCACGTGCAGGCAGGCAGCGCAGAGCAGCATATGCAGGGCAACCTCTACGTGCCCGACCAGCCTGAGCAGCCTGAACCATTTGAGCAAGCTGAGCCCCTCCAGGAGCCCGCCCAATTTGAGCAGCCCGAGCAGTTCGAGCAGCCCCAAGATGGCGAGCAGCCTCAGGATGGCAAGCCACCACCGCAACGTGAACCACCACCTCAGCACGATGCACCGCTGCATCGCCCACATCGCCAGCAACCGCAGCGTGGTCACCGCTTCGAGCAGCAGAAACGGTACGAGAGGCCGCAGCAGAAGCAAGCCGGTGACTGGCCGCGCTACCAGGAGCCCGGGGACGGAGCGCCGCCCACTGACCTACGGGACGATCGCGACTACTCGCCTGACCGAAACGGCAACCCCACCCACCTCAATAAGCGGCGCGACGCACTGGACGATGGTTTTGTAAATCAAATGCAAGTCGCACCCGTTGGTCAAAGAAACAGGAAAAGGCAACTACAAAGACGGGGACAAGGTGGTGGTGGTGACTACATACGAGAGAAGGGTCCGACACCTCCTATAGATCTAGACGAAATAGATCCGCCGCTTAAAAATGAGCCGCATGACAACCCGGAGTATGTAGACCAGCCCGAGCAGCAAAACGAGCGTGAGGTACATGATGCCCCCGAGCAGCAGAACGAGCGCGAGATACATGATGCCCCCGAGCAGCAGGACAACGCCGAGCAGCACGAGCACTCCGACCAGCAAGACCACCCCGAACAACAGAACGACCAAGCCTCTGACTACTCGGACGCCAAACGTCAACGTGAAGCGGTCTACGATGAGTTCACAGGACGTGGCAGCAAGCAACCCCAGCGCGGAGGTAGGCCTACAGGCCCACCCCCGCAAAACAAGCGAGACCATCAAATCTCTAACAAAGACTTATTGTACTACATGGACGACCACCAGCTGCGACGAAACAATATTGCGTCAGACTATCAATCGTTTTCCGACGAAAACGAATCGGACGAGCAGAACAGCATTGATAATAGTACCCATACTAACCGTGCCGATGTCAACGCTAGCCGGGTCACTGCACGCGGTTTAGCCCCTGGTCGCATAGGACCTCGTCGAGCTAATTTCAGTTATTTTTACGCAAATGGTACGAAAATGAATGTAGGGCGTAGGATGGATATGGAAGTGAATGCAACGCTGCGGCCGCGATTGGACCACACAAAGCGCACCTTCGTGGTCACCGTGGCGGGAGCCAACGTCACCTACAAACTATTAACGGTAAGGATACTGTAGAACACTCTCTCACCTAACCCAAGGTAGGAGTGCAAATGATTGGATGATTTCCCCCCCTCAATAAAAAAACTAAAAGTTCTTAGTTGACACTCCCCTGGTGCCAACTAAAAACCAGTGTTGGATGCTCACTACTTCAAAGTATACTAATCTGATAGCCCTTCTAACTTAGATATTATGTAAAAAAAAATATTTCATTTTTGACGTGTTTAATTTTTTCGTGTATCTCTTTTGTATTGCTGCATCTTGCCTGCGGGTAAATAACTTCTTTCTTTTTCTATCTAACATGATATGGTTGTCGCGTGTGACATGGCAATGTGTTGCAGCTGAAAAGCCGCGACCAACGTCGCAGTGGGTCCCGGCGGTTCCTGGAGGAGCGCGCGCCGCACAGCGTGTCACTCATCAGCCTGGACAAGGCGCCGCTGCCCGCCTTTCGCCTGCCGCGCATGCGCCGCCAGTACATGCACGAGCCGCACGACCACCGCAACCCGCTCGATGACATCATGCCTCACCACCGACGCCCCAACCACCATTAATAAATTGATATGAGTTACATTTAAAATCTATGCCTTTCATTTAAACCTCTCAAAGTCATGAATGTTATTAAGTCTCCTCAGTGTAGACCACGTATTATATTTGTTTTTTATGCGAGCCTTCTTACAAATCTGATCGTTACAAAATTTTAGCCTTATCATTATCAGTCGATGTGGACTGCTCGGCCGAGGCTCGCCCACAGAATACAACCACACACAGAGTACAAAGTACACAGAGTACAAACGGCAACAACGTATTGTTATTTAATATTTTAGTATTGCACAAGTGACGCAAAGTATTGATTTTGTTCGCTGTTTATTGTAAAATTTATTGATTGTCATAAAATTTCCAATTGGAGGATTATATTTCACGTGTAGGGCGATAAATTAGAATCAGCCGCTCTGTACGAGGGAGACAGAGCGCTGAGCGATGCAGAGGACGCTGGTCACACTGGTCGCACTGTACCACGCGAGGCTACTGGGGCAGCTACATGCTACTGCCGCCGTGCAGCACCTCGGCGCAGGTGAGTGAAACACGTCCAGTGTCTGCCGGAGCCGGCCAACCACCTCCACTCATAGTCTTGTTTTTGTTCCAAATACAGCTGAGAAAGGCAGTCAGAAAACCCCAAACAAAACTGTAGAGTTTTTAAATATAATCAAAGAGGATCTACGGCGTAATAACGATGACTACGCGGTGTTCGAGCATAACCTGTTTCTGGAGACGCCCACAAGTGATCCTCCCCCGGAAGTAGAGCGCCAGCCTGCGCCACTGCAGCAACCCAACCGCATCCCGCCAAGCGGCGGCCCCGTGCCTGGCTCGGGCCCCCTACTAGCTCGGCCAGCGCTCGCCGCCACTGGAGCGCGACCCGCACCCCTCGTGCGTCAGTCTGGCCGCGCACTGCCGCGCAAACCTCTAGGAGCCCCGCCCCACCGCCTGCAACGCCCGCGCCTGCCCCTGCACGTCCCCATCAATACCAGACGAGGTGTTAACATGACATTAAGAAACGAGACATATCACTACGGCCACATACCTCCTAATGCCACTCAGTTCAGGAGTTACACACACTCCAAACATTACAAGAAAGTTCGCGTCGACAAACTGAAACGACTTGTAGATAAGGGAAAGAATCGAATGCGCGATCATGCCGGTCGGGCCGGTCCGCAAACGTTAAACGAAGCGCAGGGTTTGCCTGGTGAGAAGGCGGTAGAGGGCGGTGACGAGGTGGGAACAATGGCGACCCCTTCTGAGATGCAGCACGAGGACATAGACGCCTCGGCTCCTCCGGATGGTATTACCGACGCAACGCAGACCACGACGTTGTCTCTATCAGAGATGCTGGCGACGACGAAGAAGGGGCACGAGGCGCCCAAACTGCGCCACCACGCGGACCACCGCACACAGTCTCCCTCGCCCGACCAGCTCGACATGGCGCCCGCCCGAGGACCCGCCATCACGCTCATTCGTTTCAAGGTACTGTTCCAATTTGCTCGTGTTCATAGTCTATTGTCGTGTTTCCTATAGGCCAGTGTGAGCAGTGTCGAAAACGGAAATTGATATAGCTTAGTAGGACGTGAAACCTATTACGCAGGTATGGTATACCGATCTTGTACCATATTATTATCTATATGACAGGGCCGGCTGTGCCAGCGAAGCATACTGAACATGGAAGGTCCCTCGTACGGGAAAGACGGCACCATGGTGATGGGTGCCTACAATCCGGAGCACGCGAAAGGTCGTGAGTTCGACGACACCACGCCTGCCAACCCGATCCTACCTCGCTGCTGCAACTGCTGCAAGAAGTCAGTGCTGGGCTGCCAGTGACGTCACCAGGCCACGTGGTGACATCACGTCACCTTCACATTACCACATGCTACTACTGTCAACTACATTAGCATCATCAAACTTAAGTCACTTAGTTTTATTAAGTAAATTATAAACAAACACAAATAAATCATTAATTACTGTCAGTTGTTTTAGTTTTGAGGCTACTGGTATTATTAATCGACTTCAAAAACAAAAATGGAGGTTTTCAGTTTGACCTGAATTTATGTATGGTATTACGTATGGGCGCGATTATCTCGTGATTAGCTGAACCGATTTTGATGCGGTTTTCAGAAGTGTTTGTTACACTTGGGATTCGGTTTTAGTATAATAATTAAACAACTTCAAAAAAAGAGGGAATTGAAGTCAGTTTTTTAAAAGTAGTCATAAAATAATTATTGTATTGTACATTTATTAAAACAAGAAAACTAAAGCTTTTATTTAATCACATATCTTAAGTTTACGTTCGAGTAGCGTATTGATGAGCCTGTCAAGCAACGTCCAGTTAATCTTGTATGTCACCCGCCCACGGTGGTGGCGGCATTATCGGAGGTCGCCGTCTGCAACAGGAATATATATAATTCATTATAGCCATTGTAGGCAAGCAGGCTGAGAGGCACTCGGAAGGCATTCAACAGTCATTCACCTGTGCGGCCCTCTTATATACCGCAGCACCCTGTAACACATAGATACGTGAGTGTATGGCAGGCCAGAGCATCCTACTGAACACAAGAAGCGACCTCACTTGTCGGCATCCTCGCCCATCGGCATGAAGTCACGTCGCGCTCGCTGGTCCAGGAGCTGCGTCTCGCTACAGCACGTGCACGGAGTACTGGACTCCGCGACCTCACTGGCGAGTGGTAACAATTGTGCTCGTTGTGTGTTCGGACCGGCCACGTCCAGTAACTCGGCACACAGCAGTAGCAACACATCATACGCCGGGCCAGTCCGCTCCCGCGCCAGTCCTTGACACGCACGCCATATGTCCGGCGGCTGTTCGGTCTGTTGCTCCGAGCTACCCAAATATATTGATCGCGGCCGATAGTAATCGAACTTATCATTGCCAGCTTTGTCCCCCTTATAGGCGGGGGTTGGCGAAGGCGTGGGCAGCGGTGCAGGGTCAACATTCACGCGGATGCCCTCGTCCAACGTGAAGGCACTGTCGGGTATGTTACTGAATGGCCCGTCGTCGTCATGCCGGGCGCGGTTGTTTCGCTCGCTCGAGTCCGCCGCACCCAACAGCAACGGGATCATCAGTTCCACGGTAGGTGAGGATTTTGGCTACACGCAAAGAGATATACATATTATACTGGGATTGTGTGACACTAGAGTAAATTATAACATTTTATATTTTTACTAAATATAGCTGAAAAAGCTACTCACAGCTTCGTTATAAAGTTCTATCTCGTGGAGGGGCGAGGCGAGCGCGAGGCGACACTGTGGATGTACAGATATGGTAATCATTAAAAAAAAAGATATATATTTGATGGGCCGACGTCTGACCACTATGTTACTTTCTTTACTCTTATTGACAGGATATTTGGAAAGACAATTGGCCCAGTCACCGCTTGGGTTACTACTCCTGATTATATTAGCTGGTAAAATAGTCAATTACTCTTTTTGAGTCAGAAAAGTTATGTAGAAAATGAACCTATACACACAAAATTGACTCTTTCCAAAAGTCGACGAGCAATATTTATCGCCGGGTACTTACAGTGCCGTGGAGTGAGCTCATCACGACCAGCGCCAGAAGCGCGCCTGCTCTCATGGCGGCGGCGTGGGGACTGCGTTACGGCTGCGTGGAATGCAGTAGTCGCGAGCAAGACTTCCGACCTTATATAACCCACTACCCCGTGAAAGATTACCCAATCAACTTATCTGTCACACTCGCGATATCCAATAGATACGCTGTAAAGCATTCGCGACGCACATCCTACTTGATGCAATAATTCTTGACTCATTATTCCATTATCTACTACCACTGGTTGTACCATGTAAAGCATTGAGTCTCCAGCAGCGTACCCAAAAGCCATTTAGCGCTTGTCTACATGTAGAATAGAAAACCAAATTATATGGAATTGAAATCGTAAATCTTGACACTTTTCAGTGTCATCCCCAAACATTTTGATTTCTACTCTCTCTGTAAACAAGCGCTAAAGTGGCGTTTGGCTAAAGGCCATGTAGTGTCAGCGAACTAGAGTAACTCAAAATGGGGAACATTGGTTTATTAAACTGCTATTTTGAATTTAAGAAACCTAACCACTGAACATTTCGACAGTAACAAAAGGACTATTTACCTAATTCGGTGCATTCGTTCAGAATTTCATGCACTATTTTGCAATGGAATAAATAGAAAGGTAAATAATCAGTACATAGTATAAAACACCGTACAATGTAACTCCCACTGTTCACTATTTATGTTATGAGTCCCATGTAATAGGGGGTGAGCCTATTGCCATATACCGGGCACAATACCAGACTCGGTGCTACGACTGCGATTTAAAAAAAAAAACCAAGTAACACTGCCCGTCCCGGGAATCGAACCCGAGACCCCCTGCCAACGGCACCACCACCACTTACCACTTGCGACCACTCGGCCAACGGGGCAGCAATATATATAGTTAATGTAATTAAAAGTACCCTTAACCGACGAGCATGCATGAAAAGATTGATGACTGTTAATGAAGCGAAAGAGGTATGTAGGAATCGTAGTAATTGGCGTTCCTTAGTCTCTGCCTACCCCCATGGGAGACAGGCGTGAAGTTATGTATGTATGTATGTATGTATGTATGTATGTATGTATGTATGTATGTATGTATGTATGTATGTATGTATGTATGTATGTAATGCTCAGTTATTGCATAAGGCCGTGGATGGAGACTTCCCCTCGTGTCGCAACGAAGAAACTATGGCTCAATAGGAAGGACTGAAAGGCAAACTAGCCATATCATACATTTAGATTTTTGAAAACTTCACCTCTTTGTTCCAAAAATAAAAATAAAAGTCATGTAGATAATAATATTGTAATTTATTTAATCGCTAGACTAGGAGGTACATATTGTTATCGCTATGCGTCCGTCCGTGCAGGCCCCAACACAGGCCAGGCAGGCCACAGATACAGGCCAAGCAGGCCAAGCTTACAGGCTAGGCCAACAGGTTCACTTGTGCAGGCCAGCCCGCTTGGCCTCGAGCTCGTATATAAGCAGCCGCCACATTTTCACCACGAACACCTCCGCTTCTTCGTCTAACACCTGTAAGATAGAATTATGTTTAAAATCGCATCAGTTTATTATTACTTCATTCTCAATATTATTTGACACTGTATCGATTAGATACCATTATGAATATGATTAGATCTTAATGTTTTTAAATTATTATTTTTCAATGAATTAAGATGTAGAGAAGTATCAAATGAAAATTATTGTAATGTCTAAGATTTGCTTGGACTTAGCTTACGTAATATGTCTACACCAGAAATGGTAGTATATGTGATTCGATATTTAATGTAAGATCTCAGTGTACTTGGAAATAAATATATCTTTACCTTTATCTTTTTTTTAATTAGTTTACAGCTCAATCACATCTTAAACCATCGCCAGTCGATTTCTCACAAGAGTATAACATCGATCACGACAATCAATCGCATATTATTTTAACATTAAACTCATAGCAATGATACATCAATCCCACATACGTCCAACATCACATCGTTCTAACTTCAACCGATCACGCAATAGTATCATCACGCTCTTTCACGTAAAAACTACTCAATGGATTTTGATTAAACTTGGCACAGTTAAATTACAGACACTGGGAGTGGCAAGACTCTTACTGACTAAAAACCACCCCGTTCCTACTCCTGCACTTCGAGACGGAGCCCCGGTAACCCGTTAGGTTCTCTGAGGCTCCGTATCGGCATGGGTCCCATCCGTGGTGATCTGATGGCTCTTTGAGGCGCGCGAGAATAACACATAGGCTATTTTTTATACTGATACTGCAAGCGAAGCTCCTGGCAGAAGGCAGTTTCATCATAAAAGTGGCAGTGCTATAACTCACCATCTGGACGTCATCAAGGATCCCTTGCGGCGCAGACCCGGCGACTACCTTACTGCAGATAAAGTCAACCAGTGTCGGCTCCGGCTCGCCTATGTACTCGATTATTTTCTTATTTATCCACGGCCGGATTTTCTTCTCCATTAATACGTTGTCAATCTGTAAATACCAAAAAGGGTTTTAGAAGACATGGGTGCTTACTCTTGTAACCAATCTCAATGTCAATGCAATTTCAATCTAATAAAATCTCAATAATTATTCAATGTCAAAACTATACAACCCCTATCGTAGCTGTTACAATAGCATTCAGAGTACGGGATATAAAGCCAAACTCAATACCATTTAGTTCATTCAATATCCACGCAATACGGATGCAATGGGCGCTAGTGTTGGAACTCGAGAGTACGAAATATCACAATTCCAATGTCGATCGATCGGAATTGGATTCAAGAGTAAGCCCCCTGGTCTGGATAAATCAAAAGTTGCATTTAATTTAGTGACTAGTGTTAACATAACCTGGATGAAAAAGGTCTTTGAAACGTAATCTTACAGGAGATTTAGAGGTTAAGGATACCTCACTAAAGGAGGTAATGAAAGGACGAATTTCATGAACTGTTTCACTTACTTTTCACATAAGTTTTTTTTATAAGTACAATTTTTTTTAAGGGAGGAAAATCATTGAATGGCTACTCCTGCTTGGGTGAGGCGGGAGGGAGTTTTAGACTCTTACTGACTAAAAACCACCCCGTTCCTTCTCCTGCACGTCGAGCCGGAACCCGTTAGGTTCTCCGCGACTCCGAAATCCTTATACTAATATTATAAATCTGAAAGTGAGTTTGTTTGTTTGTTTGTTTGTTCCACCTTCACGCCGTAACTACTTAACCGATTGCTTTGAATTTTTGCAGACGTAAAGTTAGAAGTCCAGATTAAATAATAGGGTACTTTTTAACCCGGAAAAAATTTATATTCCCGAGGAAAAACAAAAGTATTGGTATAGATGGCGCTGCGTGTATTGGTATATGTCACATAGGCTACTTTTTATTCTTTTGTGACGCGAGCGAAGCCGCGAGTGAAAGCTAGTAAGTACTATAAAGCACTTTATCGCTTGTCTACCAAGACACGAGATAGTGGTTAAACTAACTCCAATCAATAAAAAAAGAATTCTTACCTGTGCAGTATCAAGTTTATACTGAAACAGTTGATCCTTCTGTGTGGGTATCTTGTCGATGAGACTTTTAATATGTTTCCGTTTCTCCTCAGCGCTTCGATTCTCTTTGTCTCCGGCCGCCGCCTCAGCGTTAGCGGCGCCACCGCTGTTTTTCTTTGATTTGTCTTTCTTTTCTTTAGCTGTAATGGTATATTTATAACTTGTGTTAAAACCGGTTTGCTGTTATTTTTGATCTTATAAAATGATTTAAAGGATACACTAATATATACATAAAACAGACATAAAATCACGCCTTTTATCCCCAAAGGGGTAGGCAGAGGTGTACAATAAGCCACTGTACACTGTAACACCCACTTTTCACGGTATGAGTCCCATGTAATAGGGGGTTGAGCCTATTGCCATATACCGGGCACAATTCCAGACTCCGTGCTACAGCTGAATTTTTTAAAAACCCAGTAACACTTTGCCCGACCCGGGAATCGAACCCAAGACCCCTTGCCTGGCAGTCGCACTTGCGACCACTCGGCCAACGAGGCAGTCGTTGGCCAGGCAGGCAGGCGGCAGTAGATACACTAATAATGACATTAAAAACAAGATATTGCACTTTGATTCGCTGCTTAAAGGACTCCTATCTATTAATCAATAAGGATAATAATTGCCTACTTTAATGATGTTAAAAATCTTAGAACATAATAATTACACAATAAGAAGAATTGAACACATCTCAAAATGCTTTTGTAAATGAAACAAAAAGGACTTCTGATGCTCTTTATGACCGATTCCATTGATATGGAACTAAAATAAATATTGCAATACTCACGTCGTGGTTGATCGTGTGTGTGCGACCCTCCAGTAGGGGTCCCGTGTGTGGGGGGTCCCCCGTGTGGGGGTGGGTGCCCGGCGTGGGGGGCCCCGACCGTGGGCTCGTCATCGTCCCCAGCGAACGCTGCGTGTACGCGTCTAACGCGACCTGATTCTGTTGCAGAGAAAAACATCAAATCAATAGAGTTTCAACACGGTATCAATAAAACTAGATTTATAAACAATCTGTATAAATTTCACTTTAAGAAAAATAATTATAAAACAACACTCATTTAACTTTAAAAGAATGCTTTAACTTCAGAGTCCCTAAGCAGTCACCACCGATGACCACTCTCCACTTACTTACATTATAGACTTTATTTCTAATGTTTAGAGAATACTTTTATTATACACAAGTTAACTTTACTGATTTGGGACTCGAACCCTATATTATGTTAGCATAAAAGTCGCTAACATATAGTATTTGACGACCTCAAAATTCTCTCGATAATAATATAGCCAAAAATAGCAATTTTACATATCTTAAAACTAGAACTTAAAAATAAAATGCGTTAGTAAGATTTTAATATATCAAACCTCGTCCCATATAGTGGCCCAACCTCCAAGCTATCCAATGCAGCGTGAATGTACAAATGTAATGATTAAACAAACATACGAAACAATATTATTAGCCATCATTATGTCATGAGCTTACCATTCTGTTGAACGACGAAAGCTGATGGTGAAAACTCAAAGATTATAATGTTTATCGTTTGTAACTTTGTATGTAAGAGAAAATAGTAAATTATCAATACATATGAAAATATTTTTTTTGCTTCATTAATCTATGTATTTTTTACTGAAGTGTGAAAAATAAATCATAAATAATTGAATGGTATTTTTATTGCAATGTGATTGAAGAATAATGATTTAGAATTATGTATGTTTTCTGTATTTTTAAGAACTTCAATTACGTAAAAATTTTATTTGGAGAATGATAGGTTTTTGTACGAATTTTGTCCACATAGTGACATTATTACGCAAGTACTTTGCAGATACTTAAAGTATTTAGAAAATGTAACAATTTTAATTATTGATTCCTAAACCCCAATTAGTATTTTAGTTTCAATGGAAAAGCAACATATTGCATAAATAAGTATTATTTTAGAATATGTTAGTACATTTTAATGGTTTCATAGCCAGAGAAGAATACATACAATAACCATGTTAGTAAGACCTCAAAAAGCAACAAGTCTAGCACTTACCGTTAGGCGTGTCATTAGCTGAGGGGCTCAACTTATGGTGGTTCTTGAAACTGATTGTGATAGGTGAACTACCCGTTGACGTCACAGTCTGAAAAATATTGTTATTATGCTTTATTCCTTGTACTATTTGGTTGGTCAGAAATACTACTACGAACTACGGGTCTCGTTTCCTGGGTCGGGTAATGTGGTATTTGGTTTTAGAAAATTCTCAGCGGTTTGGAATTATACTGTATGCTACTAGGTACCTTTTATTAGATGAAATTAATAACAAAACTGGTCAAAAATGAGTGGTACATTTATGGACATTTCTGCTTACCCCTTCAGGGATAAACGATGATACTATGAACATTGAAATGGTGAGTAAAAAGTAAAAAAAACTATGTTGATAGAAAAAATGTAAAATGATTGGAACAGGGTAACTCACCCTGTTCCTGATGACCTTATGATCCGCGAAGGTATCCGCATTCTTGCACCTCCATACAGACATGCAAGAATGGACGGCGTCTGGTTTAGTCTGTACGTCCGTCACTCCCCTCCGTCGTCCCTCCTCCGACCAGGAGGGACTCTGAGGAGATCCCAAGCACACTGTCAGTCCGGGATAGTGGGGGAAGTAGTAAGTCCAGTAGTATACGTACGTGGTGGGGCGGGGTCGGGGGCTGCGGCGGGGTCGTGCCGGGGTCCGAGCTGGGGGGCGAGCGTCGGTGGTGGCGGCGCGGCGGGGTGCGGGGGGGCGACCCCGCGGGGGACAGCGGGGGCGACGCGGCCGGGGGGGACGCGCCCGAGCTGTCCGACTCGATGGGGGACGCCTCGCGCGGCAGCTGGCGGACGGCCGCCAGGCGCAGGTAGCGCTCGCGCTCACGGGCCGCGCGTTCTCGGGCCTGCGGATAGTTTATCTTTTATAGTACGAATAACAGTTGTTAAAATTAATATTGGTTACGTGTATTTACGTTTGCAACGATTTTTTAAATGATTAAACATTATAACTTTAATATTAGCAGCTTTACAAATAAAACAGGCAAATATGTATACAAAAAAGCCAAATATAGACGAAATACATCTGGAAGCAAAGAAACGGAGCTACTAGCGTTTTTATTTTGTATTTCTTGATAAAAATTTTCTGATAGAAGTACTTTATTAATTGGTAACGTATGTCGTACACACGGCAACTTATTTTAGTTACCTTACAACAAAACTACCTCGTTGGTCGCAAGTGTGACTGCCGAGCAAAGGGTCTTGGGTTCGATTCTCGGGTCAGGCAAAGTATTATTGGGTTTTTAAAAAATTCTCAGTAGCAGCACGGAGTCTAGAATTGTGCTCGGTATATGGCAATAAGTTTACCCTCTATTACATGGGACTCATAACATAAATAATGAAAAGTGGGTGTTACATTGTATAGTGGTTAATGTGCACCTCTGCCTAACTCTTCGAGGATAAAAGGCGTGATGTTATGTTTTGCTTATAATAAAAAGTTTGTTAAAGCATTATTATGTATAGAGAAATATATTAAGAGCAAAAGGAATATTTTTTTGGCATCGTTTGTTTGCTCTCAAGTGTAATAGTTTCTTTATTGATCCTGATCCTATTTTGAAGTAACCAAGGTCCCGTAAGATATAAGTATGGTGGGCGTACCTCCCTGCGGGCCTCCTCCCTCTGCTCGGCGCGCTGCAGTTCCTGCGCGCGCTGCTGGTCGTGCTGCAGACTGACGTCGATGAGCAGCCGCGGGCGGTACTGCGCGTCGAGTGCTGCGCGCGCCCGCTCGTAGGCCGCGCGCGCCGCCGCGTCGTCGGCCGGCCGCGTGCCCCACACGCGCGCGCGCAGCGCCTCCAACTCCTCGGCCTCGCGCGCTCGCTCGCGCGCGTCCGCTTCCGCTTCGCGCACTCGCAGGCCCAGTCGTCGCTGTAGCTCCTTCAGTGATAATGACATAAGATTTATTGTGTGAACAATTTAAAATGTGTGCTTAAATAAGTATGTGAGAGCCATTTATTTTATTTATTTATTTTTTTTATTTATTTATTTATTTATTTAATGCACTAACTACTACCATTACAGATACATTCCAATACGATAGTGTAGCCATCAGTCTTACCACATCTTTTAGTAATTACTTATTATCTAATTATAATTAAAAATAAAAACTTAACACTTATACATACCTATATACTAATACAATAAAGTTTCCTATACAAATTTAACTGTTTAACATTTCTAACTACTGAGTAACAGAATCATAAAAACCAAATTCTTATATATAACACTTAAAATTAAATACTCACAATGAATCATAAACGATATTTTACTTAACACCTATTCAGTATCTACTTACTAACATAAACTATTATTACAGTACAAAACAAAGAAATAACTTCGAGACTTTTTTGAGAGAGTAAACAATTTTGAGTTTGGTAATTCTATTGCAACGTATTATTATATGCACTTATATTAATTAATACTCTCACTAGATCACTCGTATTGCACGAAAATATGTCAATGCGGCCATGAACCTCATTTACCGTGCAAATGGCTCGTGTGAGCGGGGTCTTGGCCAGAAGATTGGTCCTGGCCACCGGTACAGCGAGCAGTGGCGGACGATGTCGCCTCCACACGTATCGGTCGGGCACACACAGCTGCAGGTGGCGCAGCACTCCCGGGTTATGTGCCACACCTCGTAATAACTTCACCACGTAAGCAGCTAACGTAAATTCTCTGCGCACTCTCAGCTCACTATACCCCACCATGCCCAGTACAAACAATGTCGGGTACATTAAAGGGTAAAAAGGGTACACACCATACAGCTTGAAGTACAAGTGCCTTGTGAACTTGTTCTGAATTCTCTCTAACAGTACTTCGTTTCATGTGGATCCCAGATTACCGCACTATGTTCAAGGTGACTTCTGACTAAAGCATCATAAAGTACCTTTAGCGTTGATATCCTATTGAACCCCTGTGTCTGCCTCAGTACAAACCCCAAGTTCCTATACGCCTTTTTACACACCTTTACAATATGTCCCCGAAAGGTTAAGTCTGGTGTCATTATGACTCCGAGATCTCGAACCTGAGCAGCCCGCTTCATTGGTACCGACTCCACCTTGTACTCATATTGTATTGGTGCTTTTGCACGAGTAAATGTCATCATGGAGCATTTTTCCACATTAAAATGTAGTCTATTCTTCTGGCTCCAATCTACTACTCTTTGTATATCTTCTTGAAGACGTTCAGAATCTGATACATCTTTAATTTCCAGCAGCAACTTGAGGTCATCAGCAAACAACAAACAAAGTGCATGCTTGACTACCTCTGGCAAATCGTTGATCATTATAATGAATGCCAATGGCCCCAAGTTGCTACCCTGACTTACTCCAGACCTAGCGAAATATAGTTCAGACTCGGAACCCCTGTAGTCAACATACTGCTGCCTGTTCTTCATGTAACTGGCGAAGAAGTTTAACAGGTGTGGCGTAAACCCAATCTCCGCCAATTTACTGAGCAGTATGTCGTTATCAACCGTGTCGAATGCCTTTTTAAAATCGAAATAGGCGGCATCTACCTGCACCCCGGCGTCTACTGCCGGCACCACGCGCGCCATGAAGTTAAGTAGATTAGTGGCAGTACTGCGCCCCGGCCGAAACCCGTGCTGCGCATCCGCTAACCGCGCCTGCACCTGTCTTTGCACACTGGCTTGAATAGCAGACTCGAACACCTTTGCCGGGGTCGACAGCACCGCCACTGGTCTATAACCCTGGACATCCTGGCTTGGTTTGCCTTTAGGAACCGGAATGACCCGCGTAATTTTCCACCGAGCCGGAAATATACCTTGTTTCAAGCACAAATTAAATATATAATGTAGAGGATCCGCCAGCACCCTACCGCAGTCTCTAAACAGAAACGCAGGCACCCCGTCCGGGCCCGCTGACCGCTTTGGTTTGAGGTTAGTGATCGCGTTCTTAACATCTTGGAGATTAAGAACCCCGATATGTACACGTGCGCTGTTGGGCCGCGCCTCCCCCGCCGCTACCCGCACATCCAGCTGAGGTGGTTCCTTGTTGTAGACTGATTCAAAGAATCTAGCAAATTGTCTAGAACATTCATGATTTGTGAGGTACTGACCATCCTTCACTATACTTTGCCTATTTACTCTACTTCTCTTAGATTGAATATACTGCCAGAATGATTTTGGATCTTTTGCAAATTGATTTTGTATTTTATTTTTATGTTCATTATGTGCATGTTTTATAGCTTTTTTAATTCGGGCTCTGTACAATGAAAACTCGTAGTAATCACTATCGAGCTTCGTTTTCTTAAATTTTTTATGAAGTTTGGCTTTAATTTGTATGTCCTTAATAATTTCTGATGTATACCACTCAGGATATATGTATCGAGAATTTTTATTAAAATTGCTACAAAGATTCTTACGCGGTACACATTTATCTAATATATTATAAAGTTTATGATAAAACATATTCAACACCTCCTCCAAATCATGTTGTTCATAAATTTCCCCCCAATCAGTCGTAGTTAGTGTAGAATAAAGCAATTGATAATCAGCCTTATAAAAATTCCACCGTGGTCTAATACTACTCGCGCCGCTACAACTGTCCGCGATGGGGGTGAGCGGGGTGCGTGCGGGCGCGGGGAGCGCGGGGCCGAGGCGCACACACACCGCGAGCGGTGGGTGATATGCGTCGATAGGTACAAGAGGCTCATCCGCCACCGCGACTGTCACGGCTAAACTAAAACCTGCACTTAGAACCAAATCTAACTGCCGCCCTTGACAATTAGGCACAGTATTATTTTGAATGAAGTCGCAGTAAGACATAAAACATTCGTAATAATTACTAATATTAACAGTACATGAATACAAATTAAAATCACCAATTTTTCGAGGCAGTTTCCGTTACGCGGCTTCCAAGTGCTGGAATAATATTCCACCACCAATTAGAAATCTGAAAAATAAAAACACGTTTAGGTTAAAATTAAAAACTTTTATTTTGACATCCCAAATTAAATTTAACGACATTAATATTGACAATTCCTTTATCTAATTTCAGTTTATTGTTCCAATTTATTCAAATTACACTTACTTTTATATGCCAACTTGGAAGTCCTTGCGTGTTGGTTGGGTGCTCAACGTATGAGCATTGTTTTAATGTACCTCGCCATTATTTTAGTTCTCGTAATTAAGTTGAGTGTTTTAATTGTGATCATTTCGCCACTCGTAAACTATGCTGGAGTTTGGTGTCCTGTGGCCGGCGGCTGTTTCTTTGTGGGTACGCGTCGGAATGAATCAGAGCTCAGCAGAGTTGTCACTAAAACTGTCTTTGTTTGACAATCAAAAATGTGAAATAACCCCCAATTAATTAAAAAAAAAAAAAGAGTAAACGTCAAAAGTGACTAACTCTTATAATTGCATTTTTACATTTTGTTTGTATGTATATACATACATGTACTATCGGATATAATATATTATTCTATTCTCAATTTTTTACACACACACACACACACATATTCAGCTAAATTTATATTATTTATACAATTTCATGTTTATTTTCTGTCTTCATTGAGGGGCGGCACCGCCGTCCGTGAGTCACTGCAGGGTGCCACCTGAAAACCAGTGTTGGGCACAAACGCCCAACTATATGCTGAGGTGGAGGCCCTTTTGGCATTAGCACGCGCAAATTAAAATTAATATTATTATTTTGTTTATTAGATTATTTTTTTTTATTTTTTTTTTTATTGTCTATTCAAAATTTTGTTATTATCGTATTATTATTTTGTTATATTGTCTGTTCTGATCTCTTTTCTTGTAAGTTTATTATTAGTATTTTGTTTATATATATGTATTTTTATTTTTTTTATATTCTTTGTTTTCTGTGCGTGTAATTGCCAAATAAATGATTTTTCTTTCTTTCTTTCTTTCTTTCTTTCAATTACAATTACTTGTTGGTACTTATCACATAATTTTTCTATTAATCTAAATAAAGTCATATAGTCATTCTCACAACTACCCGGAGGGATATAAATCACGGAACACAAAAACAAAAATCGGTTATTTAAATGAACCGTTGCACAAACCATTTCAAACACACACGCGTCTATCGATACGTCAGTCACATGTACTTGTCGCAGCTCAAGCCGGTGTGTGGCCACGAGAAGCGCGCCGCCTTGCTTTCGCCCGTCCGCTCGATCGCACCGAAGTATTTGATATCCCGGTGGAATAATTTCTGAATCACTTATGGACTCACTACAACCGGATTCAGTGATTGCATATAAGTCGGAATTTAATGACTCAATATTAACTCTGAATTCATCCAGCTTAGTGCGAAGCCCCCTCACGTTCTGATAAAAAATGTCAATATTATTCATTTGTGATATTTTTTGATGACTTTCGAAACCAAATCCACTCATTAAACTGCGCATTAGTAGGCCATAGATCCGATGAATTCAATTTATTAAAGTAGCATTCAGGAACTCCAATCACAAATGATGAGTAATCTCGCTCGGTCTTATGTTTGATTTTGTCTACTTTGATGTGAATTTCAGACCCACAAACATTTTTCACATGGTCCGTTATCGCTTCAATCGTCGTATCTGTATGCAACCGCCAAACATGCAAGTATTTTTTCTTCTCAGTTGCCTGGATTCCCTTTAACTCTGCATTTGTGCCCACCCCCACATCTCTATGTTGTCGGTTCAATTTCCGGGTCCGAACTACCGTCGTCCAGCCAGAATCCTTATCATTCTGCTCACCTGACGGCCCAGTAGATTCCTTTTCGTTGCTAACACTTGTAATATCAACCGCTTTCACGGTAGACTTTGTGGCCCCACGTTTGTTTACCTTCAACGTTTTGGCGTAGGTATTAGACATTTTTGCAGAATTATTGGAATTGTTTTGTTGACTTACAACTGTCGCAAAACTGGTACTGGGTGGCAATGTATCCTGTATCTCAATAACTGGTGGTTTATCCTGGGCTAACCTAGCGTCAACCTTTTCTTCGAGCACCCTCATTACTTTGATAACATTATCCAACTCATATTTCGTTTGAGTAAATTGGTTCAATAACAATGTAATCGCATTTGCTTGGCTATCCATACGAGTTATCATTTCAGACCTAAATTGTCTCAATTCCGCTAGCAAAGCTGAGTCCGAGTCTATCGTCATAGGAGTAACATGAACTTGACTACCGCGCAAAGTACTTATGCTATTCAACGGAGTAGTAGAAGACAGCTGGAAGTCAATTGAGCGAATAGGTGTTTCACTATTTCCTCTTTTTGGCCTAGCGCAAATACACTCTGGGCACATCCAACCTTTCTTAAATTCTTGGGTATAGGTCTTAAATACTTCGACGCTTATTTCAAGACAATCGAGATGATATTTCTTTCTACATTTACCGTTGGCACATTCCATGAAAGAGTTCTTTACTGTAGAGGTACAAGCACCACAATTGCTTGCCATATTTGCTAGGTAACTACGTTCGCAATAATTCAATTCTAGGAATAAGTAATATTTGAATTTAGTTCCAAGCTCTACTCACTGTTGAATTCCGTTTTAAGTGTGCGACAGCAGTGCCATGCTTTGATACAAGCCAAGTGATACCAAGGCCAACATGAAACAACGCTTGCGTTGTTTCTTCGTGTGAGTGAAGTTACCGAAAGTCCAATTACCCCAATTAATCTCCCCCATCCCTGAATCTCCAATAATCCTCAAACTCCTTATCCCCAAAAAGCCGAGAACGCACTTACAACACCTCTGGTATACCATATAAAAAAGATATAACTTCAGTTTTTAACCGTATGTATAAAACAACCATTGCCAGACTACTCGTATCTAGCCAGTCGACAAATAGATATAATTATTATTTATTTCTTTTCTGTACTTAATGATTTTTTTTTAATAAAAAATTTTACATCTTGATATCATTATTATGAAAACAAAATATTCTAGATGAACCAATCGAAAGCAAGCAACACCTAGCAACACTTAGTAGTCTATGCACTCCATAGATGTCATCTGATACCCATTGGAGAAAGCCTATGTTCAACGAAATCATGGCGACTCCGACTCATGGCTGATATGATGAAAAAAATGATGCTTACCTTCCCCTTGTAGTACTTGTGATCGTCCCTCTCGTCATCATAGTCCTCCAGGAACTCCTTCAGTCGCTTGGCCTCCTTCTCCCTCTCCTCCTCGCGACACCGCTCCCTCTCTCTTTCCTTCTCATACTCCTTTGTCTTCCGCCGCTCCCGACTCTCCCAGTTTCGCAATCTGAAGAAATAAGTAGTAACAGATACTGTATGTTGACTCGTACGCAATTAATGTCTTGAAAAGACTAGCTATTTAATTTAAAAAAGTAAATTGATATACTTTCGAAAAGTTATTAGGCCTTTTTTAAAGATATGAATCCTAAGTTTAAAATTCGAATACTTTGATACACATAACATAACATTACGCTTTTTATCCCCGAAAGGTTGCACATTACGGCATTTAATGCCATTGTACAATGTAACACCCACTTTTCACTATTTATGTTATGAGTCCCATGTAACAGGGGGTGAGCCTATTGCCATATACCGGACACAATTCCAGACTCCGTGCTACTACTGAGATTTTTAAAAAACCCACTAATTCTTTGCCCGACCCGGGAATCGAACCCGAGACCCTTGCCCGGCAGTCGCATTTGCGACCACTCGGCCAATGAGGCAGTCAGAGTACTTTGATACAATGATCTGTTAATAGAAACAGTTTATGTTTGACTAATAATACGTGCCTTTTTGGACTCGCAAACCTATTAATTTTGTTTAATTATCTTTTTTTAACAGGCGAATATCATCGAATGGCTGCTCCCGCCTGGGTGAGGCGGGAGGGAGTGTCAGACTCTTATTGAATAAAAACCACCCCGTTCCTACTCCTGCACGTCGAGCCGGAGCCCCGGTAACCCGTTAGGTTCTCCGCGACTGTTTAATTATCTTGAGACTTCATTTTACCAAGGGAACGCGGATGACCGCGATGTCAGAAGCTACTGTTATATAAATCTTACCTCTCCTGGTAAGCAGCTTCCTTCTCCCTGGCTTTCTTCTCGAGCCGCTTCTTCTCCCTTGCCTCATCCTCCTGTTCCTTGTCCTTCCTGGCGTCCGCCTCGCTACGGCTGCGACCGCGCGATCGCTCGCGAGATCTCTCGCGTTCTCTGTCTCGTTCGCGTTCTCGCTCGCGTTCACGTTCACTGGAAATAAAAATATAAAGTTATTATGCGAACGGTTTAATAGACTGTTTTCGAGGTAATTAAAAACCCAATAATATTTGGCAAATCCAGAAACCAAATCTGAGATCCCTAGCCCATCATCATCATAGCCAAAAGCTTCTTTGCTACGGAGAAGGTTTGAGCATTAATCACCACGCTTGCTCATTGCGGGTTCAAACTTAGTAATTATACGTCCAGGTTTCCTCACGATGTTTTCCTTCACCGTTTGTCGGTGGTGACTAAATAATCTTATCATCCCTAGCTTGGTTGTCTATTATTATTATTTATTATTAGCCATAGTCGTGCCACTACAAAGCAAAGAACTATAAGACGAAAAAAAACATGATTACACAGAGTGTCATCAATAATCGAACAAACCTAATCTAGCCCGCATCGATTACTAAAACGTACCGAAATTAAACTCTGTCCCAAAGACACAAAACACAGTCATGAATGCCGCCAAACAATACACTAAGGATAAATTTCTAAAAATAACTAGACGGAACCAAATTATATCTGCACTTCATAATAAGCCACTCACTCATATATTGCACGAACCGCTTTACCAAACAACATACTCTACATAAGGGTATAAAAATATAACAAATAATTTACCCTAGTATTTCATATCGGGTTCTAATATATGGGCAGATCCCCAACATCACTGCCGACTACTTACGACTATTGCCGACTACTACCGACTACTGGCGATCGACAAAACCTTATCGATTAACCGTAAAACCTTACTACGGCAATTCCTTTATTATAAAACTCGCGCAATTCTAACAAATTATTCTTAACGGTTTTCTTATTGTGTTACTATGGACACAGACTAAGTAAAGATTGAAAAACAGTTAGTACACTCCTATAGCTATCTAACTTTAATATTAAAATTATTTTTACAGTGGCATTAAGTGCCGTAATGTGCACATCTGCCTACCCCTTCGGGGATAAAGGGCGTGATGTTATGTATGTATAATAAAAGTCAAATAGTATAGAAGCGACTAATAGACAACACATTTGACAGAAACCGGGCAAAAGGGGTCTGGAAGAGCTAAACCTATTTTGCTATCTCCAACCTGTCAAAAGTAAAAATTATGGCATGTCTCTTTTATATACAACAGACCCATGGTCTAGCAGCAGACAGTCATGAACTGGTAGACTATTCTGTAACAACTTTAAACATCGAAGTGAATTGGATTGCGACCCGTCATGTCATTAATTGTGTAAATATTCTCAACCAATGACGGACGAGAATTCGAATTGACAGTTAGAATTCTCTTGCCTAGTTTAGTATGTTAATTTTACTCGAAATAAAGCATCATTAAATTCGAAATCGAGATATTAATACAAAATCTTTGACAAAAACTCCATCTAATGTCAAAAAGCAATCCTGTTCCAAGTTTTTTGACGCATCTATTTATTAATTTTGACTGTTAATATATGACAATATATTGTGACAAACTTTAACCCCTACATCAGTAATAAAATAAGGTAAATAACATACATAATAGCATTAACATAACATCACGCCTTTTATCCCCGAAAGGGTAGGCAGAGGTGCACATTATATACGGCACTCAATACCACTGCACAATGTAACGCCCACTTTTCAATATTTATGTTATGAGTCCTATGTGATAGGAGGTGAGCCTATTGCCATATACCGGGCACAATTTCAGACTCAGTGCTTAAACTCAGTAAAAAACTCAGTATTACTTTGCCCGACCCGGGAATCGATCCCGAGACCCCTTGCCCGGCAGTCGCACTTGTGACCACTAGGCCAAGGAGGCAGTCGAGAAAAGAAAAATTCTTCTTCTAAGAAAAGAAAGTAAATAAATATGTGTTACAATTTAATCTTTGTCGACTACGCAATCTGCGCATGATTGCGTATGTACTTGCGACGTTATAAAGCCATATCGTCATGGTATCCGATATTTATAATGTATTTATTTATTGTTGCTTCGTTGGCCGAGTAGTCGCAACTGCGACTGCCGGGTAAGAGGTCTGGGGTTCGATTCCCGGTTCGTGCAAAGTATATCTGGGTGTTTAAAAAATTGTCAGTGGTAGCACGGAGTCTGGAATTATGCCCAGTATATGGCAATAGACTCACCCTCTATTACATGGGACTCATAACATAAAGTAGTGAAAAGTGAGTGTTACATTGTACAGTGGCATTAAGTGCCGTAATGTGCACCTCTGCCTACCTCTTTGGAGATAAAAGGCGTGATGTTATGTTATTTATTGTCTTAGAGCTTGACCATTATTTCTGGCAACCACTGTAAATAGGCTCATCCGCGTGTTAACCTCTTGCTGTCGATATATGAGACACAATACAAAAACTGTTCAAAATCTTTAGATTAAGATATAGTACATAAACATAAAACTTCGTTTGTTTTGTTTTTAATTTAACTCCTTTCTACTTTGTTTTTATATTCAAAATTTTAGGATTTAATTTGTTTTTAGACGTGGTCTTCTATAACTGGAGAAGCGCACGATTGGTTTTTTGCTTTATCATTGTGTATGTTTTATGTATTCTCTGTTGAAGATCCCTTTTGAATAAATAAATAAGAAATTTGGTACATACTTTCCTGATCAAAAATTAATTATTTCTACTGTTCAATACAATAAAATAAAAAAAAATCTTTAATTGAATTTATAACCAACTTAATTTTAGTATTTTTCCAGCAATTTTTTAAGAAATAAGTATACTATATATTGTTTGATGCTAAAAAAACGTGACGTCACAATACACAATTCCGTACAAAATTCATAGAATACTGTCGTTTTTGACAGTTCTAAAAAAGTATTGAAGCTGACTAGGTGGCAAGTACGAAGTACCCAATAAAAAAAACTCAACACACACTTAGGTCATGTACGTATTTACGTATTTATATGTGTATAATCATGTATATTTATATATTATATTATGTTATATATTTGCCTTCGTAAATTTAGGTATATATATGTCCCATACTTATTTGTATACTATCCCTTACTGTTCGTTTTGTATTACGTATATATTTTAGTACTTCTTCATTATATTTAATTAGTAAATATTGTGTGATATGTATATATATACTACCATATCAACTATGTTCAAAACTCACAACAATGTTAAACTTTTACACCTACTATTGTGTCTCTCTGCATCACCCTAAGGTTGACTGTTAGAGAATGCCACTAGGCATTAAGACCGCCATTGTATACAATTGCAAGAAGTGTAAATAAATAAATAAAAAAAAAGTCATAATTGAGCTGAGAAAAATTGCGACATCTCCAACTCATGTTTTGAAGCATAATTCTGAACATGTAGCGAATAGACCGCTTTAACCATCTAGTTCGACTGTATTTATATGACCTAAATATAACCGTTGCAACTTTATTACTATTCACTTATCGACTCTACAATTGATTGCGCGTAGGTATCGAAGCTGTACAACGAATCGAACGTTCCAATATAACAAATCTTACTAACATCATTAAGAAGTTTGTAAGTGAGTTTGTATGTCATCAAATCGGCTGAAGGGATCGGGATGATATTTGGGACAAGGGTAGATAAGTCTGGTATAACATATAAGCTACATTTTTATGCCACGGGACCGCGGATAAGCCTGGGAGTCTTCAAGGCACGGTTGACTGCACGGTTGGTGCGGTGGCTGGGCAACCGGCTGCCGTGCGACGTGTCGCGGGTTCTATTCCCGCACGGGACAACACTTGTGTGATCGACAAATTGTTGTTTTGGGTCTGGGTGTCATTGTTTATGTGAACTTGAATGTTTGTAAACGCACCCACGACACAGGAGAAAATCCTAGTGTGGGGCAACGTTTTTTTTAATAAAAAAAAAGGCCCGAGTGAATAGGTTGCTTATGGGACGACGTGCTCCATCGTAGACCGCATCATCGCTTACCACCAGGCGAGATAGTGGTCAAACGTTGGCCCATCAAATATAAAAAAAACTAGTTATTCATATGACCTGAATTGAGTACTTGCCAACTAATCAAATTCAATAATTTTATTCGAACTGTCAAAAACGACAGTTTTCTATGAATTTTGTACGAGATTGTATATTGTGACGTCACGGTTTTTAGCGTTAAACAGAATAAATAATTAAATACTATAATTAAGTTGGTCATAAAATCAATTAATGAAAGTGTGATTGTTTTTTAATATTTTATTGTATTGAACAGTCGAAATGATTTATTTTTGATTAAGGCAAGTCCCTAATTCCAAAAAGTCCCAAATGATGTTACAATTAACGCTTAAGTCAATTTTTGCTTAAGTATTTTAACGCTAATCTGAAATATTTTGTTTTGCGATACTATAATGCTAGCCGCTAGCGACTTTTTGCGCTGTGAATATAATAATATTTAAAATATAATTACCGTTCCCTTTCCCTTTCTCGCTCTCGCTCACGTATCTCCCTCTCTCGTTCTCGCTCGCGTTGCTCCCTGCAACAAACAACATTGTTATTATGGAGTAGAATTCAAAATTGGGTAATTTCTAGAGTCAAAAAGAAATTACTTTGACACCTTCATAGTAAAATATATACAGATTTTTGATAAGTTCTAATTAAAAATATAAGTATGCCATTTGACTCGTCATTGACTGCCACGTTGACAGAGTGGTCGCAAGTGCGAAGGCAAGAGGTCGGTTCGATTCCCGGGTCGTGCAAACTATTGCTGCGTTTTTTAATAAAAATTCTCAGTAGCAGCATGGAGACTGGAATTGTCCCGATATGTGGCAATAGGCTTACCCCTATTACATGGGACTCATAACATAAATAGTGCAAAATGGGTGTTACATTTTACAGTGGCATTAAGTGCCGTAATGTGCACCTCTGCCTACCCCTTCAGGGATAAAAGGCGTTTTATGTATATCATTTGAAGTACAAATATTATGAATTAATACACACTTTCAAGTTCAAATGCAGTTTGTTTGTATGTACTACTGACCTCTCTCTTTCCCTTTCTCGCTCTCGTTCCCGTTCTCTGTCTCGCTCCCTCTCTTCGCGTTCCCTCTCCCTTTCCTTGTCACGTTCCTCGCGTCGATCTTTACTCCTGAAACAAGATTACATTTCATATGAAGTGATTACTATTTTTACTGATACATATGTAGATATCACACTTGAGCTTGGGACTACTACAATAATTAGTTATTATATTAAAAGACTAGCTACTTCCGCGCGGTTTCACACGCTCTACTCAACTCCTATTGGTCGTAGCGTGATGTTTTATAGCCTATAGCCATCCTCGATAAATGTGCTATCCAACACCAATGAATGAATGAATGAATCAATGAATGAATGAATAAATGAATTATTCAAGTCAGACTTGTAGTTACGGAGATCAGCGCGTTCAAACAAACAAACAAACAAACTCTTCCGCTTTATTTAATAGTATAAGATATAAGATTAAAACTTGTCAATGCTTACCTCGAAGTACTACGACGGCGACGATCTTTATCTCTAGCATCTCTAGCATCTCTAGTATCTCTATCCCTCTCCTTATCGCGGTCACGTTCCCGATCCCTGTCCCGCTCGCGATCCTTATCCCGCTCCCGGTCCCGCTCGGCGGGTCGCTCGCGGCGGTCGTCCCGCTCGCGTCGGTCGTCCCGCTCCCGCGGGCGTTCTGGCTCGTCCTTGTTGTCTCGCTTGCGGCGCACGACGACCTCAGCCTCCTCCTGCGCCCAAACACAGACTCTGAGTGCGACCGCGTGTCGTCCGATGTCTCAGTTCGCACACGAACCAACAAACTACGGCGCGGCCTCGCTGACGCGCTCGCACGGCCCTCGCTCGCAGATCGAGGAGCCCGCGTCGAGTCAGCGAGCCCGCGCCGATTGATAAGTCGAGCAAGATCAATTTCATACGATTGAGGGTGGTCGGGCGCTAGCACGCGATAGTACGAGCGACAAGGATGCGCCGCTCCCCGCCGAGGCCGCTCCGCCGCATCTGAAAATCGCCACCTACTGACCACTGGAAGTGACACTGGCTACTGGTAGTATAACACACCGCCGCGCGCCCGACACAGGGCGCGGGCGGCGGCGACTACTCACGCGCTGCTGGCGCTCCCGGCCCCCGGCCGCCGCCGCCGCTGTATACTACTTATGTTACTGCTCGGTGCCGCCGCCCATAGCTTGCGGATAGCTAACGCTCGCTGTTTTATTCTTGTGTTGTCAAATTATATTTTAAATGCCTATTCTCCTGTCTTAATATAGTACCCATGACAGTATCATAATTATTATTAAATTAATAGGTGAATCTGAATATGGTCCGAGTAACCAACACCGCGGAGTGTACAACTTTGATCTCAAGTTAAGAAGCTGAAAAAATTGGAAGCCTGCATCGATACAGGTCAAAATATTGGTTTCTTGGACCTTCGACATGTATGAACAGCAATATGAGCCTACACAGTGACAACAGATTATTGTAATTTATATTATTTTATAGTGAAAGCACCTCTTATTTAATCCCATTGACTGTACGCGTAAACACCATAGATTATTGTAAAATGATTGTACGGTTTGTAAATTCACTACATTGAAGCAATCAGAATGATTACTCAATCAGAATGATTGTGTACATAAAATCATAAATCATAGTATGTGACTATGTCAAATAGTGTATGTCAAAAACCGTCAACCTGCTAATATGATTTAAAGGTGATTCGATACGTTTATAAAATCGATTAAAAGTAATAATGTCTCAAATACATTGTTTTACTACGGCCATAAACAGCGATTTATTAAAAAAAAACTGATAAGTGGCCTTTAGAGTCAATAGGATTAAATATTTCATCATTAGTTTTACAAATCTGATGATTATACAAGGCAAGCGAAGGCGACAACGAAATATAATTTAACTGAACAAAAATTATAATTACGAAACAGAAGGTTTTAAAACCACTTTTGTTTATGGCTCTGTTTTTTTAATTGTCAAAGTGACGTTTGACAGCAATGACAGTTGTCACGCCGGAGTTAGACAGAATTTGATATCACAGCTATTAAAAAACTTAATCTTTTTGTAAGCTACGGCCACAAAAATGATCAAAAAGGAGTACAGAACTCTATGATACATTAACACTTGCTACCTAATACAAGATTGTCAGAAAAAATAAGTTCTAACCTCGATTCTATTATGTATCAGTACAGCACAGCAGTAACAATGAATGGTATTATTCATAGATGCCTCATTATTGTCTTCTTCTAGATATGATGTACTTTAATTTTATTAAGATATTATGTCACAATTGACAACATTTTATTAATAATAAGTCTAACTACTTTGTCAATGTAAAAAATAACACTGATCAAACTGAGTAATGCTTTTTTTTGCTTTTTGGCAACGGAGTCTCCAATACAGTGTATTAGCAATGTTAAGTTTATATAAAAAAAGTGATGACAAATGTTGTCAACTGTCAGAAGAGCGCAGCTGTCATAAATAATGATCACCATATTCATCCCTGGTTTATGAAATCCTTGTAAATGGCCAGCGGTGAACAATCGAACACACAAACAGTGAATTTGATGGTAAATTGAAAATTATAGAAGTAATTAGTAAAATGGCTAAAAAAACATTCTAAAGTTGAAGAAGTGTGAATAATCTTTTTTTAAATAATAAAAACATTCGACACGTATTTTTATCTCCTTTAAATAGCAACGCAACTGTGAAAAACATTAAGATAAATAAGAGAGAGTACCTTTTCACACGTTTCAATGAATATAAAATATGCGTCAAATATTTATTGTAAAATCTAAACAACTGACTAACGGCCGAATACCGAGATACTGCTCAATTTTAAGTCGTACTTAAACATCGTGCCATCTCTGTCGTTTAATAAAATATTTATAGTGACAGAAATACTTATTAACCTTAAAATTGAGAGGCATTTGAGTAATTGACCATAAATTAAATAAAATGCTTTCATACCCTGTCACGAATCATCCTTTAACCATTGCATGCCGATAAAATTGCGAATAAAAACTGTAATTTATGAAATGAACATTTAAACCGACCCGATTTTTACCACATTTTGGAAAAATTGTTTTTAAAATTGTCCCTACTGTGAAGGTGTGAGGGATTGTACTCACTACTGTGTCCTTGGTGTCAGGCGTGGACGCGGCTTGTTGCTATGGAGCTAAAAAAGTGAGTGGGATGACTTCGGGAACGGGATGGGATGAGTTTAAGAATGGGACGGATGGGACGGGGTGAGTTTGGCGATAGTGTAGGGCAAGTTTGGGAATGATATAGGTTGAGTTTGAGGATGATGTGGGTTGAGTTTGGGGATGACGTAAGTTGAGTTTGTAAATGGGACAGGATAAGATTGGGGACGGGGCCGGGGCGTGACGCGGGTGCGATCTTACCTTCATACTCTCGCGGAACTTGCCAATCTCGCGATGGATCACATCGCGCTTCTCCTCAGATATGTCGGCTTCCTCGAGCACTCGCGCTGTTTTGGAGATCGCTTCCTCTGTGGACACAATTGGATAATTTGTAGACGGCATTTGGGAGAAATAAAATATACTTTGATTTGACTAATGCTTTTCATACAGTTTAAAGACGCCGTCGCCGCGATTAAAAGCATACATATGGCAATAGGCTCACCCCCTATTATATAGGACTCATAACATAAATAGTGAAAAGTGGGTGTTACTTTATACAGTGGTATAACTTACACTTATGTAAGTAAGCAAATTAAAAGCAATGTTTCCAATTAGAGTGCCTATTGGACTGATATCGTGTCAATTTGCTAAAGTGGAATGCAGTGCTTCGAGCGCTTAACACAGAAAAGCTAATATTCGTGGCAATGTAGGGGTAAAATTCAGGTTCATTTAGTGCTTTGTGGAATCATGAGAACACAAATATGCAATTCTTGTAGTAAAATGGTACAAACCCTTCTGCAGCAGTTCATAATTATTAATATCGTCCTGGTAGTCCCTCATGATCTGTTGCAGTCGTCGTTCGGCGGCCTCGTCGAGCGCCCTCTGTCGAGCGTCGAGGTAGGAGGCCTCGCCCTCAGTGCCAGGGGCGCCCTCCTCCTGACCTAGCCGAGACCGCTGCTCAGCTGGAAAGAAAGAGGAATATGACGTTATTACCTTAAAGCTTATAATAATGGAATCATTACAATGATTTCATATGTATAATATGATTAAGTTATCATAATATCAAGCATACATTACCTATTATTGTTTTAAAATACTTAAAAAGGCTTACACAGCCTGTAAAAGTGTTGTTATTTGAAGACGGAATTGTGACTTAGTATAGTAAGTTTTTCAATTTGTGTACACCTACTTATTTTAATAAAGAATTTTATAAAACCTTAAAGCTTATAATAAGTTAAGTAGAAATAATGTTATTTATCTTGTGGACCGAGCCAGTAGAACAAGTTATTGTAAGCTGTCAAATGTCTTCTAGATTTTCTTGAATAACTGTATTATGGTTCATGTCACTTTTCTAAGGTTATCATAAGGTTTGTCATATCCTACAGAAGTGTGGCGACGGAAATATTATGTACTCAGAAACAACCTACTGTTTGTTACTCAGAAACTACCTACTGAATGAATCTGAGGCCTTAATACGAGATTCTTTTTCGTTTAAAGTAATCGAAACGAGACGACGTTCTGTGCTCTGAATGGTTGGTTCATTAGAGCCGGCCAATCACAGCGCCGAACGCGTACTCGTTACGATTATTTTAAACGAAAAAGAATCTCGTATTAAGGCCTCTGAATGAAGTTTAGAATAGCGATAGATTATATTGTGGAATAAACAATAACGCGGACGAAGCCAATACTTACTTTTATACGTATCAACTAACGCCTGCATCTTGCCATCAGTCTTGGCAAGCAACTGTTTGTCAGCGACGGGTCTACTGTTCAGTAGCCTCACGCAGCGCAGCGCAGCCTCGGGACTGGCGAACTCACTGAATCCAAACGTGGACACGCGTTTCCAACTGAGCACAGGGCCACAAGCACCCAGGAGGGAGCGGATCATGGCGTCCGGCGCTCTAGAGGATATGTTACCTGGAACAATACAGTGCAGTTATTAATATAACAAGTTTATATAGGACCACCACTTTTGCCCATAGTGAACCCGAAGTATTAACTCGTTGAGTACCGTCATTATAGACACAATTAAGCCTTTAACTGCCGACAAAAACTGTTAAAGGCTAATCATCCGCTAGCGTCGGACAACATTGTCCGACACGGCAGCCAATGCGTTAAAGAACAACCGGTTGCAGTCACCGGTGACCGCTTGGTGTTTGACAGTTTAAATGAACAGTATGTAAACATACTCATCTATACATATAATAAAATCTTAGGAAAGTGAAAACTGTACATCAAATATTTTTTTAAAAGAATTCTTGGGTCGTGATCTACAGTCGATACCGAAACCAAAAATATAGGGTTTAGAATGTTTGTCTGTTTGTCTTTATGTATATCCGGGATGAACTCAAAAACTGCTGCATGGATTTATTTCAAATTATGCATGAATATGACTAAAAAATCAGGTCAACATATAGGCTACATATTATCATCCTATCAACTACAGGGGAGCAGCTGTGAATCACTATTCCACGTGGACGAAGTCGCGGGCTTAGCTAGTAATTTCATAATATGTGACTCAACTTTTCATCAGTTACATTATAAGTCCCATAAAAAAGAGCACAGACCTATTGTCATTAATCTAGCATAATTCTAGTCATCATCTAGACATTAGAAATCATAACACATCTTATAGACTCCATGCTTGGCAATTAGAGGCAAAATGAATTATCATGAATGTGAACACCAATATTTTTCTATGTGATACACTCTACCAAAGAGGTGTAAGGTGGTGTTTGTGTTAAATAATATAACTAGGATTATAGGGTATGATTCTTACCTATGAAGACTGTAACGGCAGGTCCCTCAGGATCCTTAGCACCGTTAGCGTTGCGCGTCGGCCCACGGGAGATGACGGCTTTGCCGGGCGGGGGCGCAGGCAGCAGGGCTCCTCGCCCGCCGCCCGCACCGCTTGCGCTGTACGCTCCCACCATTACCTGTGACATAAAAGGATTCTATTACAATATCACGTCACAACTAAGATAAACCGAATTAAAAAAGGAAGATCTTGCAGATGCTGATTTAGGAAATTATTTGGCATTCAGAAGGATGTACTACAGGGATTTTATGAAGTAGAATGACGAGTCTCTATTTGGATTTATGTACGAGCACTAAAGATATTGAGTACAGAGTATTAACTTTCATTAGGTACCTAATAAATATTTTAGCCAAAAACCTATAATAATGTAAGAATATAGAAAATGTCTAGAAATAATTGTGTTATTTACACTGTTATTAATGGTTTTGAAATGCTTGAAAAATAAAATAATTATACATTTGATAACTATTACAAATTTTGCATAACAAACATGAGTAATCAAGCATATAGAAATTAAGAATTGAGCAATACAATACAGGTTTTAGCATAACATAATAATATTATTCAAAGTAGTGGTGGTATTGTGTTAAAGCATAAATAATCAATATTAATTTAACAATAACAATTAATATATAACAGGTACAATAACTGTGAAAGGAACATAATAATTTATTGGGCTCTAACACACGAATTGTTAGTGTGACTACTTGCTTCTAAGTATAAATTTCAAAAGTAAACAATACACCTAATAATAATTATTATAATTAATTAATTATTAATATTATCAGTTGTAATGGTGATAATTTCTAAAGTTGTACTGTTTAATGAAAACAAACCTTTACAATGTGTGGCTAATAGACTAGCATGCAAAGAATAAGTCAACACAAAGATTTAAAATCAAATAAATCTTCTGAGGGCTTTAGCTTTGCACACTGCACTGGAGAAAACAAGTCTAATCTTCAAATGCTCAAATATCACTAAATTTTAAGACATCTTCAAGTATAGTTCTGACACTACAAATTCTTTATAAAATGACTGTCTGTTAGTATTTGGGTGTAAAACACCACAAAAATAACATAAATACTTTGAAATTTTGAAACTCTATTCCATAAAATAACAATAAAAACATTTATAACTACACTAACAATTAGAAAGAAAGAGTAAAAGTTCACAATTACCTAACTATGTAATATAATAAATAAATTAAAATATTAATAGTATGTTACCTGTTTACACTTTATCTACACACCAATCTTATTGAAATTGTGCATAAATATAGTTGGGAGTATGGATAAGACTATAGGCTAATTGACATAGCTAAAGCTGTCTGTAAGTCACACAAGCACTTCTGCCTAGCAGTTTAGGGAATAGTGTACCATTATGACCAATTAAATACCATTACAACTCAGTTATTAATGCCACCTGTAATATTGAATAGTTGGGAGTTGGGTCACTGGGTTAAAGCAACAATAAAATAAATTAAGTTTATAAATAAATGATAATTAGGTGAATGATAATTACTGTGATTATCTAAGACACTGATAGATTCTAATTATGGTGACAATTTGACAACATAAGGAGTGAAACAACGAAAATTGAAGTCATATTATTTGGAAATGTCCTAATAATAAGTAAGTATAAGTTTCAACGCCTGTATAACATTTAAATATAAGTACATTTAATTGTAATGTCTAGCGACTCGACCCCGCAGTCAAACCATCGCAATGGTTTTGTGGGGCTTAGATTATAAAATACTTACCTTTGTGATAATAAATAAAATAAGAAAATAGTACAACTTAAAAGAAATTAAAAGGTAAATTGGAAATATAGTTTTATGACATTTTCTATTCATGTTTAAATCTTATTGTCACAAAATGGTCTTTATGATGAATTGTAGAATGTTTTAACTGTGTCTTATAAATTGTCAAAATAAACAAATAGTTGTATGTCTACAAGAATCAATTTAAATGTCTCCAATTCAATGTATTTTAAGATAATATTATGGCAAGTTTATATTGAATTCCATGTTATATTTCATTGCATTTTTCTCGGTTCTTTGAGAATGCAAATACAATTAGAAAAATATCAAACTATTGGAAAATATTTTTTATAGTCATTACAATAATATGATGGGATGTAAAATTAGTGTTTAATTAACTAAAATACATTTAAGAGATAAAATGAAGGAGAAAAGCTTCAAAAATATATAAATAAAATTGTTAAAATACCATGCAGTCAGTATGAAATCTTTTAACTCAAAAGTCTGAATATAAGGAGTGTCTTCAGTCAAATAACTAAAATAGCACATTATAGTATTAAAAAGGAAGGAAAAATGCCATGTACTTATATAACGTAATGAAATTGTAAAAAAAATACCATGCAGTATTAATCTCATATGTCACAAGGCTGAATATGAAGTGTCTTAGACAATCAAAGCTAAAAAATTGGTAAACATTGATCTTTGGTTTAAGTGTTTAGGTTTGGCAATTCAGAAGTGTAAATTAACACATTTTCAGCTTTTAATAGACAGCTACAAAATAATCAAATGCAAACTATGTTTCTTTGATTAAGATTTCAATGTGAAATATATGTTTTCATTCAAAGACAAATCAGTTATTACTTATTCAGTTAAGGATTAGCTTTAACTTTTTAAATGGAATCATAACTTGAGTTTAAAATATACCATACTTATACATAAATATAAATACGTGATATTAAAAAGAAATGAGAATGACAGTCATACCTTTGGAAATATTTTCACAAGATTGTTAATATACTTTGAGAAATCTTAAAACCGAGACAGATTACTTAGGTAACGTTTCTAACGTATCAAATATTACGAGTCCTTGCAAATGACATGTTATAACAGAAACACTTTTTCAAGCTTGAATAATTACAATTATCTTGTGAAAATCGACACTGATCGAGTCTGCAGAATATTATAACGGAAATGTATGATGAATCAGCTGTTTGATGGATCTTGTTTCTGCATCAGCAGCTTAATTTGTAGCGAGGTTAGGCCCTCCAAGACTTACATGTGTAGGCATCTGCATTGTGACGACTCCAGGTGCTATCCCGTATGGCACCAGCGGCGGCCGAGGCGGGAATGACATCTTACCGCTTAATACCTGTGCTTACGGCTTGGCTGCACTGGTGACCGCCAGGTTTCACCACAAAATCACCACCGGTGACGCGTTCACTTTTTTTAGAAATAAATTCACTAAATAAGTAGCAACTTCTACTGACATTAAATAATAAATATATTATTATAACTATGATCTATTAAAATCAATCTTAAAATCTCACTATAAACCACAATTCACGAAATTCACTTTTATCACCAACATGGTTACTTTAGCAGCCATATTGTTTTTTTACAATCTAACATTTTAACATGTCAGATTGTCAATAGCGCATAGTCTATGGTTTCGTTCAGAAATGTAAAAAGAGGTTCTATAGAGTAGAAACTGTTTATGGCACTGGTATGATTTTATTGATGAAATCTATGATTTATGGAAAATCACAGTAAATTAATTGCCCGCAAATTAAACACAATAATAATTAATTATTATGACGAATAGTATTCTAACACAATAAGACTTTTTTGATCAAAATAAAATAAATATGACTTTCAACAGCGACAAATAATTCTTACAGCTGACACTAGATGGCGCTGTAATGATATAGGTAGGTAATGGATTTTTTGAATAAATTTTAATGCCTTCATAACATTTCAAAAATGATTTAAACATATTTTCTACTACAGTTTTTTCTACGAACCGAAAAAATTTCATAACTGCATACTTTGTTTGACCCAGGAATTGAATGATTGTTTGGCAAACCTCTCGATCACCAAGGCGGGCATTTCAAATAATTATATTCTTATGTGAATAACATTTCATAATTGTCATCTTGTTGAAATTACAATTTCGTTACTATTTCAATTTCAATATAATCTTGTCGAAATTACAATTCCGACAATATTATAATTGTACGTACTTAATTGGAGAGGCCTATGTCCAGCAGTGAACGAATACGGGCTGATGATGATGATGATAATGATGATGATGATGTACTTATAATATATTGTGTGTATAGTAACACAAGAATGTTACAAGTTATAAAAATGATCAATAAACTCCATTTCTTCTCTTCAAAATACATGGCAATGTCAGGTGCAATAATTACCTCTATTTAATTACCTTTTTGTTAGGTAGTTGTCTCACCGAAAACGATGAACGAGTAACCAGTAGAGCTAGAATTGGAATCGAGTAAGCAAGCCGCGGGGAGCGAGCGTCTAAGTTGCGTGCTCTCTGATCTGCACCGCAGAGAAATGACCACTGGTCGCTCTCACAGCATTAGTTCTAATCTTAGAGTATTTAACCAATCTAACTAAGGTTCTAATTGTTAGCTAGTAACATCACTCCGCGAAATTATTCATTTAAATGGCGACTCTTTTCACTATAAAACCTTGCAATAATTATATTTTTAACTTCACATTTTGCATCTACCTTTTAGGTACCTATGTTTAGTAAGTTCGTCGAACAAAAATTCAAAAAATTTTGAATTGCTTTTTAGTACAATAATTCTAGGCCGGGCGGTGGAGCTTGCAATCGTAGGTACTTATCGCTGTAGGTACTAGATACGGCCAAGGGACGGTGCTAGTAATATCTTTCATAGCTTTTGTCGCTCAGCAACAAACTAGTAAAGCGAGTGCTCGCCCGCAGTGTGAACAGTCAGCGATCAACTATTTGTATCTGCACCTCTTTTGTTTAAACGTAATGTTTATCTCTCATGTCGCGGAGAACCTAACGGGTTACCAAGGCTCCGGCTCGACGTGCAGGAGAAGGAACGGGGTGGTTTTTAGTCAGTAAGAGTCTGACACACCCTCTCACCTCACCCAGGCGGGAGCAGTGACTCGATGATTTTCCCCCCTTAAATATAGATATATATATATATATATTTCATACATTTCTTGAGCGAGAAAATAACCGATAGTTAGATTGTAGTGTCGACATTGTTATCGAAAAAGTGCACCGGCTTGAAATTTCTGGTGTTAATAAGAATTCCAGTTATAATCATTGCCTCTGCACTTACACTCCTTATCTAAGACAGAAGTCGTCAAATAAAATATTTAAAATTATTTTTAAACTAACTTTAATAATTTGAACATAAAGTTATTGATTGACTTAGAATTATTTTTACAAAAGAAGTTACGAACTAATAAAATAGAATTTTACAAAACATTTATTGAATTGTGATATGTACCCTAAGTTTAAATGATTTTATAACAATTTTTAAGTTAATTTTTAGAGCATTCATAAGTTAGATTAAGTAATAAATAAATTCACAGAACATATTGTCAAAACAGCACAACTATAATACTTAAGTAAAATAATTAAATGCTTATGATTCGTATGAATGAAAAAATGAAATAAATGCCAAAAAGTACTTTTAGCATAATTAACATTTTACCAACTACGACTGTACCTATGCTCTATTTACAGCATGGATGTTGATTTGTTAAAAGTTTTGATTCTACACTCACTAGATGGCGTTTGAAGCGTAAGGTTATAGAGCAATCAGCCTTGTATTGACAATATTCTATTGGTCAACAGACGAACACCCTCCTTATTAGATATTGTTTTTTATTTGTTATAAAGAATGACTGGCAAATGTGGTTAAATGCTTAGACGAATATACTATTAATGTTCAATGTAATTTATTATGTATGACTATTGTACCTATAGTATGATATACATATATAATGATGGCGACTTGCTAATAAATCAAAAATTAAACTATTTTTTCTACGCGTCAAGATACTTTTACAGTTATAAATAAGTATCTAATCACAATATTCACAAATACTTTTGCATATCATAAGTATAAGCTAATAAAAACCGCATAAGGTATATTGCTATAAATACTTATTTTGATTTCATGTTAGGTACTGATTTTTATTAAAAAAAGACCTATATTATACAAAAGCCCAATTAATTGTTTTCTAGTTCGAATAAACATAATTATGTATGTACAAGTAATTAGATTGTAATCTTAAAAATCTGTTTTCATTAACCTTTATTAATTTGTAAAAACTTGCCAGAAGCTTGCGATTAAGTTGTCTCATAAGATAAGATCGTGAGGTCACAAGTGATTTAAAACTCATCAAAAGTTCAAATAGTCAAATATATTTGTTGATAAAAATCTATACAAAGTATTAAATGAGATAAAATCGCAAGCAATCATAATTTTTATGTTAATAAAGTGCTTATTATGTCCTATTCCATATTTGATTCATAATTATTGGCCTAACAAGCATGTTTTACATAATTATGAATTTGTTCTGGTCATCGTATCGCCCACATACTAATATTATAGTTTGTTATAATTAACGATGTAGAATTATTCTAATTAGGCTTAGACAAGTGATTTTTAAGTGGTCCGTTTTTATGCTATGGAGACCAGTTTTATTTCTCTGTCATGTGTTTTTTTTTCGTTATCTTTACGTCTATGATTTACTGTTGGGAAGCCATGTCAGTAGTGTTAATGACTAAATGAGGCTTATAAATAAATAATTGGTTTTATAAATATTATGATTTGTTATTTATTGTAACAGACAGGTAATTATATGCTTTAGTGAAATTGTAAAAACATACTACTGAAATGTTGAACTACGCAACGCGACGCATGTTGATTGGTCGTTATTTTAAATGGTGTAACATAAATGGGCCGTAATTTGTTGTTTCAGTAATATGTTCTTATTTTGTGTAAACTTACGGTTGAACTGATCAAGTGTGCAAAAATATGATTAAAATAAAACTTAGATATACTAAATATTCGTTATAAACTAGAATATACAAAGTAAATACAAAATAATTAACATTTTGTGGTCCTATACAACTTATATTATGTGGTTCATAAATATTGAAGCTACTGCTTTCGGTAAAGTATTTGAATAAGTATTATTATATCAAAAGAAATATTTTAAAAGATCTCACAGCAAATTAACAAAAAATATCCATAATTAGTTTTATCGGCACTGGTAACCGGGACCGGTTATCATCAATGTCGAGACTACCGCCCTTGAAAATTATTAAGGGTTCAAAAATAATATTTAGGCTGTCAATTTTCTAATAAGTGAAATGTAAAGAAACTGTTTTTTAATACTAGCGACTAGCCCCGACTTCGCACGGGTGCAATATGCCTTTTATTATACATATGTATAAACCTTCCTTAAGGATCGCTCGCTATTAAAAAAACAGCATCAAAATCCGTTGCGTATTTTTAAAGATCTAAGCATACATAGGGATAGACAGACGGCGGATAGCGACTTTGTTTTATACTATGTAGTGATATATCAATATGGCAACATTTTAAAATATTTTCGATTGGTATAATAAACAATATAAAAAAATTATGTGAGCCTATACTATTACTATTTGAAGGTGTTAAAGGTGTAAAGGGCAAGTTTGAATCGGCCTAAAGTTTTCAAAACATACAATTATGTACTTATTTACATTGACCTACGAAGAGCGGCCTACTTGATATAAATTAATGAATAATTACTTGATTTTTTCACAAAAAAAAAAATTCGAGACGAATTTATTGGCGCCTTTATTGCCAGGATATTTACAACTTTAGCACATGAGTTTAGAGATCAAGCTTCATTGCATTTTTATGCTTAAAAGTTTGTGATTTATTCGAAAATTATTGTTTATGACTTAACGACTAATTTCTATCGTTATGATAATCGAGGCTTCCACGGCTGATCTTTTCAGCTTGATCTCTACAACTCATGGCATTACTGGTAATCGAAGGGTCACGTATGATGGTATTGAAGGTGTGCTAAAGGATGCTCGTAGAGTGGGTAGAGGGGCTGCGGCGCATGCGCAGGCAGGGCGTGGGGCGCTGGTCCATGCGCCGGCGCATCGCTGTCGTCATCAGTTGAAGAGTCCAGTTGCTTGTCGCCTGTACCTCCGCTGTAAATAGAAAAAGGGTTGGTTATGGATATGTTTCAAATGAATGAACAGAAATTACTGTAGCTAAAACTCTGAGATTTCACAGCTGAGACATAACTATGACGACCATGATACAACCTGCACGCTGTATTAGATTAAGACAATTAAGACAAACGAGTCAAGGAGCCAAAAAACCTTTAAATAAAAACTTTACGTCACTCTAAATCTAATTCCAGTCTTAACCAAAGTCGCGGAGAACCTAACGGGTAACCGGGGCTCCGGCTCGACGTGCAGAAGGAACGGGGTGGTTTTTACTCAGTAAGAGTCTGACAATCCCACCCGCCTCACCCAGGCGGGAGCAGTCATTCGATGATTTTCCCCTCTTAAAAACAAAGTCTTAACCAAAGAGTATAATAGGTAAGTATAGGGAAAGTAGTCCCAATTATATAGAGTTATGGTGCACATACATATTTATACTCTTTACTCAACAAATCAGGAACAACGGCCATCAATAACACTCTGCTCAAAATCATAAGACCTCGTGTACGGCCACAAATTAGATGCTAATGGCAGAGTAACGCTAGATGTGACCGTAGAAGACAAACTTTTTTTTATATTTGATAGGCCGACGTTTGACCACTATCTCGCCTGGTGGTAAGCGATGATGCGGTCTACGATGGAGCACGTCATCGCCTAAGCAACCTAATCACTCGGGCCTTGAAGACACCCAGATTATACCCTTCAGGAAATACAGACTTTTTGCCAAACGCCATGCCTAATTCTGAACTCTATGCAACTACTTACCTACTAAGAATTTAAACAGTTAGGTACCTACATGACCTAGCAATAAAACACAAAATACAAATGCCTTTATTCAACAGTCGCCCAAACTTGCGGCCTTGCAACTAAGATAGATGAAGCATGCAAGGATGAATGACACAGAACAAAACTTTCGCCATACCTATAGCTTGAACTTTTCATAATCTAAATGTAGATTGCAATAGTTTACAACAACAGCAAAAACTTCTTAAAATCGAACCTAAACATCAGAAACAACGCCCACCCAAATATTCTTAAAAAAACCGACACAAAAGCCACAATTCAGAAATTATTATTACCCATCGTACCCAATGAGGGGTGAGCACATCGGTACATATCAGTGATGACAGCCAGCCCTCCGGTCGAAACACGATACGCCAGGGTATTCTCTACACATAGACAAACCGAACAGTGATGTGCAAGAAGTTTTTATACGATTTCTATTTTGTTGTCTTTGGTATTGGTAGTTGTTTGATTAATTTTAATGTGTTTATTTTTTTCGAGGGAAAATCGATTATGATTGTTGCGATTTTTGATTGCAATTGTAATTTTATTGTGATATTGCTTGGTCTAGGAATCCTAAGTGTGGTAGTCGAATAATGACCGGGGTTGGATTCCCGCGTTAGGTACATCATGAAAATTCTCAGTAATAATATGGTACCTATCTGGAATTGTCCTCATCCTCAGTGTATAGGAATAGATTTCCCCTCTATCAAATGAAAATAAAAACAAGATATCCAATTGTACCTACATTTGTACTTTTATCATTCACTTTAGGGATCGAAAAGTAACAAATGCTACGATACGAGCCAGGAATCTATTCGTAAACCTCATGCATTGCTCAAAAAGCTATCAGACCACAACAGATGGGGCCCGGTAGCACTGATGCCCTTACGGAGCCGCGGAATTCCTAACGGGTTGCTGGGGATCCGGCTCAAAGAGCAGAAGTAGGAACGGGATGGTTTTTAGCCAGTAAGAGTCGGACACTCTCACACCTACTGACTGAAAGACTTTTATTTATTTTGTATTTTTTGACGATTCAAAAGTACCAAATTATGGTTTAATTGAAATAAATGCTTTGATTTTGACTTTGACTTTCATACACCCTCTCGCCTCACCCAGGCAGAAGAAGACACTGGATGATTTTCACCGCTCAAAAAAAAACAGCCTCGCGCATAATACCCAAGTCACATGACAATCAAAACGCAAAACTTTTCCATAATGGAATGGAAGGTTCCCATCACATCACATTCACGAATATTAAATCAAATAACATCAACTGACCTTAACGTCTAGACCAGCTCTTAGGCTAGACAAACCTTATCTTTTATTGCACCTCAATAAAGATAACGATAGCCTAAAATAATTGCTGTTTATCTAAATAATTCTGCATAATTAATAATTAAAATAAACAAATACATGTATTCAGCTTCCCGATATGCTGATCTTGAAGATCACTATCTTCTTATTAATAATAATATAAACATGACGTAAGTAATGTCGTTGACATCACGCTGGTTGTGGCTTGAAAGGATTGGCAGACGTGGCACAAAGGCTTACTTTATAAGATTGAGTGGCAAACGGAAGGATCACCTGATGGTAAGCAATGCGGCGCTATCCATGAACACCCGTTCACCAGAGAAGATAATATTTATTATGCATATTATATTAGTACGATTTATTAAGTGTGGGAGAGCCGTGCTTCGGCACAAATGGGCCGGCTCGACCGGAGGATAACACTGCCTCAGAGAAGACCGACGCTTGCATTGTGTTTCGCTTTGAGTGGGGTTATCGGAGGCCCTATTATCCCCCCCCCCCTTCCCCAATCCCTAAATCCCCAACAATTCTCAAATTCCAAATCCCAAACGGCCGGTAACGCACTTGTAATGCCTCTGGTGTTCCAGGTGTACATGGGTGACGCCGATTGCTTACTATCAGGTGAACGAGCAGACGTTAACCAGCTTATCCCATATAAAATGCATTTCCACTTTACACCAATTATGTTCTGAGTTCCAAGTCCCATCCTATCATTAAAATCTGGAGCGGCAATAATAAAAAAAACAAATAAATCATTCCACGTACGTACGAGTTGAGCCAATCAATTCTATACAGCGGACACAATTCCAGACACCGTACCTACCTACCATTAATGGCGATTTTCGAAAATCCGAAAACAATCCAATAGAGCTTTACCCTGCCCATGAATCGAACTTAAAATCCCTTGCTCGGTAGTCTCACGGTCACACGATTATCGAGAACATACGTATTTATTCCATCTAGTTACAGTTGTGACAAAGTACACCCGGGAATAGAACACGGAACTGATCGGTTGGCAGCCAAACAGTTGCCATTTGTCTTCCAAAGGTCGTTTAAGTACAGTTAATAAAAATAAATTCTAGAACTCGAAGGTAACTATTGAATTTCAGTTGTAAAATTTTATCGAAGTGTTTGCCTACTGCAATGTGCAACCAAGTTTGTAATCTTATACTTTATATTATAAATCTAGTTTGTTTAACTAGCTCTTATAATATAATTTTAGATTTGTATGTAATTTGTGGTTTTTGTAGACTTACACATTAAATAGTCTACCTACGCCTGAATATTGAAAGGTTACTCAATTTTAGTGTCGTGGTGGCCCGGAGGTTTAAGACGCCCGCTTCTCATGCATGAGGGTGCGGGTTCAAAACCTACCAACGGCAAGTACCAATGTGACTTTTTCCGAGTTATATGTACTTTCTAAGATTATTCAGACACCACTGACAAACGGTGAAGGAAAACATCGTGAGGAAACCTGGGCTTATAATTTCTAATTATAAGTTTGTAATCGCCAAACCCGCATTGAGCAAGCGTGGTGATTAATGCTTAAACCTTCTCTTCATTGGGCATTTATAGGCTGTTGATGAACTCAATTTTAGGTTGTACAAATATTGTGCCGTCTCGTATACATAAGCGCGACTTAGAGTTGGTAGGTAGCCTTTTAGTATTCGGGCGCTAATTGTCTTTATTTTTCGGTAAGCGTTACGACACACGACGCACACTGTCCCAGTGTTTTGCGTGCAGTTTCACATGCACGTCACACCTAGATACGAAATAAAAAATTTTAAGCCACAGAAATAATTATTCTGAGTAGGAAATCGCACTTTACATAGCGACCCTTTCGCCTAACCACTGTGTCAAACGCACGCATGAAAAAAGCCGAATACTTTCACTGTTGATCAGTCAATTGTTATTTGCTACTAAATGACTCTGTAAAGCATATGGGTATTATTGAAATGACACCATTTGATAAATAGGTACAAAATTATCTGAAGAAAGATCTAATTATTGTCTATATTTTTAACTTTGGCGATACCACTCGGTATTTTGTATTATAATAAATTTATAAGTGTTCTTTTAAGATAAATTACTTTTTAAATATATGTATGTAGAAATAGATAAATAGTGAATAAATAAAATTATTATCAGATACAGAGATGCTATAAAATTAAGAGTAAGATAAAAACTTATTTTAAGATAAGTAAAGTACCTACCTAAATAACTATGTATTGCGTAACTTTTCCATGACATTAATTTATTATCAACAATTCAATAAAAACGTAATAGTAAAAAAAATACAACAAATCTTCATAAAAACTTCGCGCCAAGACAAAGCCTTTGTACTCCACAGATTATAAGGATTGTTCTTTTTTTTAAACCGGCAAAGATCCAGGACCCATGCCCATTCAGCCGAACGCTTCCACTTGATCAAATACGAACAGGGTTTAAGGTATTAGACCTTTTTGTTTGAAACTTTGGAAAAATACTCATTTTGTTTGGTAATGCAATACTTTTAGTAGTTTTTGTGATAGTTTGTATTTGACAAATGCCGTCTTACTACTGTATGGGCTACAATAATTGTAAGTACAGAAATTAATGTTAATATCCGTTTTTACGCTAGTTTGTTAGGATGCTGACAGCAATTTACGAAATTCCACTTTAACTTCTGGATGATTAGACATCAGTTTAAATACGGGCGTTAAGAATTTAATGTAGGTACTCTAAGCACTCACTCCATTATATACTTATAGGTCCATTGTTTTAGAATTAATAAATACTTTTTCAGAAAGTAACATAACATAACATAACATCACGCCTTTTATCCCCGAAGGGGTAGGCAGAGGTGCACATAGAAGTAACACCCACTTTTCACTATTTATGTTATG